AACAGGCAAAGGAATGCAGGGTCATTTTGTAGAATCATAAAATATCTTGAGTTGGAAGGAATCCCCAAAGATCACCAAGTCCTACTCCATGCTGAGCTTTTGCTGGGTTTTGTGACCAAAGCCCTTCAGATGGATTCTTCTGCCAGGGGAACAAGAGGACCTGGGGGATATGGAGGGGTGTCCTGCCCTGTTGAAAGATTTTGCTCCTCTGACACAAACAAGACTTGTTTCTACATGAAATATTTGTGGTTACATGTCATAACCCCAGTATCAGCCACCATGCTGTGGCAGGGGAGCTTTGCCCTGGACAGGACAGCAGTGGGGTGAAGGCAGCTGTGGCTTCCTGGAGAAGGACAACAGCTGAACCAAAACCAACTGATCCCACACAGCGAGGATTAAGATCTCCCAGGTCTGCACCCACATCCTCAGGGTGGTGGAAATTTTGACAGCTCATCTGCATGCCATGAGAAGAGGCAGGATCATGGGATAGCTCACACCACAGGCTGTGAAAGACTAGTAACTGTCTCGTGAGTGCACCTGGTGTATCAAAGGGGATCTCTGTAAACAAGAGGTGCTGAATCACAGGCAAGATTGTTCCTCCCTGACGTGAGAGCAAACAACACATGAAACTGAGCAAAAGAAGAACTTGGGGTTGATCTTGTCAGAACTAATTTGTCCTTTCAGATTCAGAGTCATGGAATGGGGAATGTACAGTCCTGTTATTACCCCCCGAGTTTCCCAGCTAAAGAATTCTAGTCTTAACTTACGGGAAGACCAAGTCCAATACATCACCTCCCAAGCTCCAGTATCATAGAAGGAAGCAGAGAGAGACAGAAATGAAAACCAGCAGCAGGGAATCTGTGTGATCTGACTGAGGTTGAATGGAACAAGTCCCTGATGCCAATCTGGACTCTCCAGACCTTTATCTGATCCCTTATGCTTCCCAGTCAAAAACACCCTGAAGCCCACATGCCTGAGACTCAGCAGCACTGACCACCCAGTGCACGTCCTTGCTGAGCTCATGTCTTCACAGCAATAGCTGGGAAGTCATCGTTCCCTGTGTTTCCATAGGAAAATGATCAAGTCTCCTGTCTCCACTCTCATGTTACAGCTAAGCCACCACACTGCTGGAGCTCCTCTGTGTTCAGAGCACGTGGGAGAGCACAGGATCCTGATGCACTGAGTGCTCAGTGCTCTTCCTGGGTGAGCAATGACAAAAGACACCACAATGGGGACCTCAGTGCTCCCCACATCCTCATGGCACTGTGAGGTCTGGAATCCCCAATACTACTTAGTCACTTAGATACAGCAGGTTTTCTGTCCTCCCTCCCTAGACATTGTGTAATTGGAAAAAGCCTTTGTTTTCAAGGTCAAGCAAACAGTTGCTTGGGGAAGTCTCCTCTTGACTCAGACAATAACACATCAAGGGCTGGTGGTTCTAAGCAGCAAGGGTGTTGTGTACAGATATTGTAGCTGTGGCCATGACTGTGTTACCCAGAAAACTCCTGTAAGTTAAAGGGCATCAGAAGGTTTACTAATATGTTCTGATTTTATTCAAGCTAAGGTGCCCAGAACCTGAGCATTACAGTCTGAGTACCTTGGGAGCCAGGTCAGGGGAGCCAAAAAGTGTCTGATCAAATAGAATCAGAGAATATCCTGAGTTGGAAGGGACCCACAGGCTGCTTTGACAAGTGGGATTATGCACTTGCATTGGTTCCATGCCCTCTGTGTCCCTCCGCACACCTCAGAAAATCCCTGCCCTTGCTTTCCTCCAGCAATCCTGGCTCTACCTGCTTGCGAGGTCAAGGCATGACCTCACTGAAGAAACTCCCGCTGACTCCTTCCACTCACGTTAATCATTCACCTAAACCTGTTCCAACCCCTTGGAGCTGCACCAGCACTCGCAGCCCTCCCCTCCCACAAAAGAGGAACGTGTCCCGGCGGCTCCTGCGACGAGCAGGCCAGGAGCACGTCAGCTCCTGCTGATGGTGCTCTGGGCTTTGAGGCATCACCGCCAACCTGAGTCACTGCCACACCTGGTTGTGGTGAGAGGTGGCCAAGGAGCCCACAGCACCGACCTAACCCACTTCAGCACTTTAAACCAACTAAATCATTTTGTGGCATTTTATCCCGTTTTAAGCATTTAACAGCCTGACATGGAGAGCAGCATGGGCTTGGGCTTTCTATGTAGTGCTTGTAAGCATTTGGAAAATTATCTTCTGTGTACTAAATATCTGAGTCATCCCAGGAGAGTGCTGCATCCACTTTTAGATGTTACCATGTGCTGTCCTCAGCCACAGCTTATTAGTAAAGTCATTTAAACCATCAGGGAAACAGCTCACAATGCTGACCCTTCCTCTTCTCTCTCCGGACTTTGGAAACTTCAGTGGAAACCAAAAGGGGTTTTCATCCTCTTAACTTCAATTAGCTGAAAAGGTGAAATACCTCATGATCAGCTCGAGGGTGGTTTGGGAGTGCTTGCCTTGGTCCAGGTGTCCAACGGTGGGAGCAGATGTGGGAGGAGCTGGGGCTGGCACCATGCAGTGCTCATCCTGGCTTTTCCAGCAAAGCCTGTTTCCTGGAGGCTGAGCAGGACTCACGTGCCGGGGTGTTTGGCCGCTGTTATAACGGTCAGTATTTACCAGAACCTTCCCAGTCATCCTGTCTGTGAGAAAACTTCCTGGCGCAGAAATTCCAGCTAACTCACCAATGAGGGGACTTAGGTCAGGGAGAGACCTGGGGAGAGGCCCCAGACCACCTCAGCATCAGGAGACACCCTGGCAGAGCAAGTCACACTGGTGGCACCAAACCAGGGAGCTGCTGCTGGCCCAGGGTATTACCCCCTCCCCAGTCCCTCGGTGCTGCATTTGCTGGGGGCAGCAGGGGCAACCTGGGAGTGCAGAGCTCTTTGACATGATCTGGGCCATCCCCAGTTAATTAATCACCCTCTCCTGCCCTGGCAAGCTGAGGTCTGCGGTTCCCACTGCAACCTGGCACAGCACATGGATGCCAGACATTCATCATCCCTCTCCAAGGAGGGGTCAGACATGGTGGGCCCACACTTTGTACTGGGAGGGCCACGAGGCTCAGCAAGGCATCATTTCTCAGGAAGATGGGGAGTAGTCAAGGCTCTCCTCTCCCTTCCACACCTACATGGGGTGCTTAACCCCTTGGAGTCACAGCTGTGGGCCACAAACTTTGGCAAACCTCTGGGTGAGAGCAAGCCTGCCAAAGCATCTGCTGTATCTGCTCTATCTGAAGGGACAAAGGGTCTGTGCAGACTGGTGTCCAGGTGGGACAGAACACTCACGATGGTTGGTAAAACCCCCAAAATAATAAAAAAGACCCAAAACTTCCCTCCTCTGCACCAGCATTCAGCAGAAAAAAAACATTTCCTGGGCTCTTCTCCATGGCCACTCTGCTTCCACCTCTGCCAGCGCCTGGTCAGATTCAGAGCCCTCAGCCATGAGGCATTGCCAGAATAACCACAGCTCATCCAGGAGTTCAGAGACCAGAACTGGCTGCCTGTGTAGCTGCTGGAAGCCTTCAGCCCACACCCCAGCTTTTGCCTTGCTGGTGAGAAGGACAGCAAGCTCCAAGGACCACACAAAGTGTCCCAGGACCCTGAGCTCAGCCACCAGGCCCCATAGGGACTTCCATCTCAGCACTGAGGTCTTCCATCACAAAAAAATACACAGAGAAGGCACCTCTTTGTCTTCAAAAGTCACCCAACTAAACCAGGATCTAAGATAATGATTATCAGTTTCTTGCCAACAATATTCCCATTTTCCCTCCTCCTCAACTTCCACATATTTGAAGAAGCCATGGTGGTGTGGATGAAGAACAGGAGGTGGTTTCTGCACTTACAACCCTCCATTCTTGCTCCATTTCAGACTAAGGACACCGAATCCTTTGTGCTGAGTCAGGGCTAACTGCAATGCAGCAGGATGGGAATCCTTCAAGGAGCTGCAGCCAATGCTGGAGGCTCTGGCTGCCCTTGTCTTCAATCCATCAGCTCTGGGTGTCCTGCCTTGCACTCTGCCTCAGAGAAAACTGAGTGTGGGGGCACTTCCACATAGCACATGATTCAGAGAGCTTTAAATAGCTCCAAGTTGGGGGAAAATATTCCTCTTTCGAACCGCAAACTATTCTTGGCAACTGCTTAGTTAAAAAAGAGCTCTAAAAAGTCCAGCTCATTCAAGGCAAACATAGTTCATCATTGTTACAGGCTGGAAAATGCCCGAGGGGGTCACTATTGTTGACTTTACTAAGCAACATCTGCTTAAAAAACCCGTCTGCAGTCAGCACAAGTGCCCCGAGCCTGGTCCTTGGCTGACTGAGCAACTCTTCACTTGCTGCAGTGTCTGGTTGGGTCTGGGAACAAATCTGGGGCTCAGAGGAGACATGGTTGGGTTGAGCTGAGACCTGAGACCTGAGCTTCACCCTGGCCACAAATCCCAGTGCAGACAGACTGCATCCCACTGGCACATGACCTTACCATGGCTCACAGAGGCTGGAGCTGGTGGGCTGTGGGGTGGCTGGTATTGTGTGATCACCAAATCACAGAATGGTTTGGGCTGGAAGGGACCTTAAAGTTCATCTTGTTCCAACCCCATGCCATGAGCAGGGATGCCAGCATGCTGAGAAGTATGTGCAAAAAGCAGGCAAGGGTAAGCAGGATCAAATATGACAGTCTGGGACTCCCAACATCACCTCCAAATGAGACTAGGAAAGGACTCTGGTGACAGAGAATTGTATAATAAAATAACTTCTTTGGTTTCTTTCTTTAGAAAACAACTTTCAGACAAGGTATAAAAATAGGTAGTTAAGGAATACATTTCAAGCTGGATGTACCAGTGACTTTGGGGTATCTTTCACTACCCTGTGCCTCAGCAGCAACTGCCTTCTCAAACTGAAGCGTGACAAACAAATGCAAGTGAATCCTCTGTGGGAAATACCGTTACATAACTAAACCCTCCAACAAAACCAAACTTACAGAGTTTAAAACAAAGCCAGACAGTTTTCTCTAAAGAGGACTGGGTTCTTCACAGAAACAATGACCCTGGGTGCAGGTTTCTCTTCTGATAAAATATTGAGCCTTGTCAAGGGCTGGAAAATCAGTGACCAACACCTGGAGAGCTCCCAGGAGCTGCCCCACTGTAGGGACACTGCTGTTCACACATCCCATCCCATCCCATCCCATCCCATCCCATCCCATCCCATCCCATCCCACTGCTGCCACGGTACGGTGTCACTCCAACCCGTCACTCATCTCTCATACTGCTTTTCAAGTTATGCTTGGAAAGATGAATAAATTAATGAAGCCACAGAAGGAAAAAACCAAACCAAAAAGCACCCAAAAAGTCCAGTTCGTGCTCTCAGAGCAGCAGGAAGCGCTTGCGGACCTCCTCCTCGATGGAGTGGAGCTTGACAAGGCGCAGCGCATCCAGCAGCTTCTTGATGACCTCGTAGTGCTCCTCTTTCTTGTGAGTGAGGAAAGTCCGGAATTTCTCCTGGATGGCTGCCCTGGTCCATGGTTGCTGCTTCCTTGGTGAGCGCTCCAGGATCTGCTGGAGGCGCTTCAGCTTCTTGACGGGGATGTTCTGATACACCACAAAGTCTATCATGGCTTGTTCACAGTCGTCGTCCTCTACAGCTGGTGGGGGGAAAATAGCTGGAGGTTAGAGGGAAGTGAGCCTGGGACACTGGAGAGCAGGACACAGCCCTGCCAAGCCTCTCTGTGGGATGTCTGCCCCGGGAGGTGGTGGATGCCCCATCCCTGGAAGTGTTCAAGGCCAGCTTGGACGGGGCTTGGAGCAACCTGTTCTAGTCGAGGGCTGAACTTCCCATCAGTGACCCATGCTACACGTGGCAGTTGGACAACAATGTGTAAAAGTTCCTGTAATTCTGAAAAAAAGTGACTATACCTGCTCCAGGCTCCTCCCCATCGGGGAGTAGAGGAAGAGGGAAAGTTCAGAAAAATCTGGAGTAATTGCAATAAGTGTTTACACATTATTTTTCCTGCAAGTTTCTGTTCTCCCATGCAGATTTGTACATCTCGTGACAGGACAAGCCCCAAGCACAGCCCCAATCAGGGCACTGAGACAGATCCGGCCCCAGCTTGTGGAAGCTGCTGGAGGGCATCCAGCAAAAGGAATGAAAACAAAGAATTTTAAAGAGACCAAGGCCAAAGGATTACTCAATCAAGGAGAGAGAGATTAACTTGGTTTCGTGCTGTTGCAAACTGGGAACAGTTTCACTGGTTATAGTGGGATGGGTTGGGCTCCACTGCTCAGGCTGATGATGAGCAGGTCCCAGTGTGCCTCCTGAGCAGAATCATGACAAAACAGAGCTAAAAATACCCTTCAACTCCCATTGCTGGGGCCTCCTCTTCTCTGTAAATAGCCACAAGGGGCCAGTCTGGCTGCGGGGCCGTTTCCTGATGCACGTGCTGATGATGCTGCCCCCACCTGACCACCCCCCACTCCCAGGACCATGTCCTGCTGATGACAGAGCTTTTCATCTCTCTGCAGAGGGATCGTGCTCCTGGCAGGGAACTCATGGTGTGAGTCAGGATTAGTAAGGAGAAATGCCTGGGTTGGTGGTGCCAGGAGAGGATGGAAAGGTGAGAGCTGCTGGGGAAAACAGCCTCCTCGCTGTCGCATATCACCCCTGGAGCCAGCCCTCTGCTCTGCCCTGCACCTGTTCTTTTGCCAAGAAAGGTTGGACCAGATGGTCCTTGAGGTCTCCTCCAACCCAGAGTTCTGGGATTCTCTGATCTGTGCCCACTGGCTGCTCCTGCCTGACCTTCCACCTCCACTGAGGCTCATCTGTACCATTGCAGTGACACAGTTGACACCACGTCTCTACTTTTTCAGCTGACAGGTCAAAATCCACCCTATGCTCAGCTCTGATTAACCTTGGACTCTGCTACGTTCAACCTGCACGAGACCAGGCCATGCTGCAAGAAAAGCTTCCGGAAAACGGGCTGAAGCCCGGGAAAAGGGAGCACAGGATCCATGCCAGGAGCCATGCTGGATCCCTCAGCCCTTCTCACCTTGGCTGTTTGCATGGCCATCAGATATCAGTTATCAGCTACAGTCAAAAGGCTGCCAAAACTGTCCTCCTGTCCCAGCATTCCCAGTTGTTCCTGATAAGATCCAGCAGGATTTTACTGCCAGCTCTTTGCTCTCACTGAGTGGTGGCCATTGCTTAAGCCCAGCAACCTGTCTTTGCACTATGGGACTGACACTGGAGGGGGAGGAAGGCAGGCAGGCAGATGGACTGTATTCTACCCATAATTATTATTAATTGTGGATCACTCCATACTTTTACAAACCATTTCACTGCATTTTGCATCTAAGTAGGAGAAAGTCACCAGAAAGTTTGCTCTTGCCCCGGCAGCATCATGTTCCTGGCACCCCCTGTGCCCACAGATCCGCAGCTCACCTGGTCCCTGCGTAGTGTTGCCTTTCCCCAGTCTGCAGGAGGTGCAGAGGGTGTCGTGGAACTGGTTGCCCTGAACATTGGTCACCTTCCCCTGCTGCTCACAGTCCTGGTGTGGCTGGCATGGATCAGTGCTGGAGCTGGAGGAGAAGAAGCCGGGGGGACACTCGTGGCACTTGGTGTCCTCAAAAGGGGTACCTGTGCATGGAAAGACAAGGGGACTGTCAGGTGACAAGCTGGGAGCAGAGGCAGGAGCTGATGCCAGACACCACTGGAGCGTGAGGGTGATGTTTTGGAAATGATCACTGCCCGTAACTTCCCTGGGCACTGCATGTTCCTGTGTGGGGCAAACAGCAACGCTTTCCCCAGCCTTCTCCCAGCCCGTGCTGGTAAATCGTCACCAGCACCCTGACACAAGAGGACACCTCATCTGCTATGAAAAGGGCCACCTCCCAGGTAGGAGCTGCAGCTGGGCCAGTGGGTGAGCTGCCAAACCAGCCCTTTGGTTCCCAGTGGAGCCAGAGGCTCCCGGCCAAGTGAAAGTAAAAGTCACTGAGGAGATGAAAGCACATCGTCACTTCCCACCCTGGCTCCGGGCCAGCCCTGCCCATGGTGTCACAGAGACAGTGCCACGCAGCCAGGATTGCACCAGGCATCTTGCACGTTCCCTAGAAGCCCTGACACAGCAGATTTCACATCCCTTTCACCTTCTTTTCACAGATCTAATTGCAAACACAAGTTCTACCTTGTCACACCCCACTTTAGGCTGTTGCTTTGGCTTCCCCAAGAGAAGTCTGATCTTTCAGGTCCCTCCCAACCCAAACCACTCTATTCTAAGTCCCAGCCAGCCCAGCTATAACCCCAACACCAGAGACACTCCTTGTAAACAGGAAATCCCAAAGAAGCTGATGTCCCCCAGAGGAATCAAAGCCCCCAGTCCACATCGTCCCCATCAACACCATCACTGACAGCCCTGGGGTCCTTGCTGTGGGGTTCAGGTGGCTGGGCTGGGCTGGGGTACAGTCCTCCCCACACAAGAAGCCATTTCTAAAAAATAAATTATAATAACAACAAAAAAATGGCTTCTCCTCAAATCCTCAGCTTGCTCACACAGCTCCTCAGTCCTACAGCCAACCCTCCAAACAAATGTCATGTTTAATTTCAAAGAGCTTCCCTGTATTGCTTGGAGACCTAGTTCCCCTTTCACTGTATTATTGCATTTTGTCATGTCCTACAGAAAATTAAACCCCAAACCTCAGCCTTCAGTATCAGCTGAAGACAACAGGTATTTCTCCTCTGGCAGGTGAGCCTGGAGCTCTTCAATGCCGTGGATGGAAGGACTTCAAAAGCCTCTACACTTCAAAAGCCTCCACACTTCAAAGCATTAAGCAAAACACTGCTGGGTTTGCTGGTGCTGCCCATGCAGGTTTGTTTGTACCCAGCTGTGGTTTCCAGGCAGACCCTGGTTCTTGGTGGTTCAGGGGGGAGTGAGAAAAAGGAGAAAGAGGGAAAGCCACTTCTAGGCAGCTTATATTTTCAGAAAGTTTGCACACATACACATAGAGCAACTAAGGGAGCAGAGAAATGTGTACTGGGGAAACAATGGGAAAATAACCCCCCTAAAATCTCTTGGAAGTTACATCACACAAGGAGATGGAGTGTCAGACTCATGAATCGAAACAAGGCTGATTTTATGGGTTTGGAACCTGGCCATATACCCACTGCGTATTTTCAACACAAATTGTTCTCCTAATTGCTCAGTAAAAACCCACAAAACCCAGCCCCAGGGCTACACACATCCACCAGCCCTGCCCTTGCATCATCAGCCACCTTTTTCAGTCCAGACAATCAGCCTTCTCAGCTCCTGGGCTACCTGATGCAGAAAGAAAGGAACTCTTGGAGGAGCAAGAGCAACTTGGACCTTCTCACCTGTCCAGAGCCACACAGGGCCAGCAGCTGCTCCAGGGATGGGCAAGTCACAGCCTGGCTCTGCCTGTTGCAGCAGGTGAGGGAGGTAACTGGGATTGCCATGTCCCACCTAAGCCTGGTGCTGGGGATTTCACAGGCTTTCAAAATTAAAGCTGTGGGAAAACCCAACCAAATTCCTCCTCGGAAAAAAAAAATTAGGAGCAGTTTCACATGCCAGCGAGGATGGCAGTGCGATAGTGAGCTAAAAGGGAGTACGTCAGGCTATGAGCAAGCATTGGCTGCTGTATTTTTTCCTTGATTTTTAGCTCCAGCAGGGATTTTGGGATGTGACAAGAGCCTTGTGAGCACACACAGCACTGCCTGTCTGGGGATTTACCTGGTTTCTCCACGCCGGAGCCCGGCGGGCACTCGGAGTGCCTGATGCAGAGCTCCATGTCCGAGTAGTATCCCTCCTGGCACTGACAGACGCGGTTGTGCGTGGCATCGCACTGCTGCACCTCCACCTGCTTCTCGCCGCAGATCACGTTGCAGTACCGGCACTTCTCCAGGTAGTTCCAGTACTGCGTGTAGTGCAGCTCCGGGCAGGGATCGCACTGGGTCCGGTTGTCCCTGCTGCAGTGCTGTGACACGAATGTCCCCGGCGGGCACTGTTCGCACGTGATCCTCTCTCTCGTCACCGGGTCCTTCCATGGGTAAGTGGGTTGGGCTTTGCAGCCGAGCTCAGCCAGGAACAGGAGGAGAGGGGGAAACATCCACTGCAGCAAAGACAGCGCAAAGAGCCCTGAGCTCGTCCTCTGGCAGAGGCGGGAGCAGCAAACGCGGCTGCTGCTGTTACAGAACTTGTTATTGTTGTAGGTACAAGAAATCATCCTCCCTCCCTATGCTGTCCCCAGCCCCAGGGGTAAAGCATCGGTGGTACCGGGGAGGAGCTGCTGCCCCCTGTGCCTCCCCATTGCCTTCCCTTGCCATCCCAGGTGACAGAGCATCCTTCCCAAATCCATTTGTGATGCCTTCATAACCCCGTTTCCCTCTTTCAGAACTCAAAGCAGGTCCAGTACATTCCCCTCTATCATCCCAGTCAGTTCCCCCTGTCTGGGATAAGAGAGACCCTGGCAGATCAAGAAGCAGAAGGGAAGTTTTCCAAACCAGCAAATACATAGCATGCTCCGTAGGAACTCAAAGACTTTTTTTGGAAACCCAGTTGCTCAGGATAGTACTGGAGAATCCCAGAGCTTGTTTATCCCCCGCTTTCCTTTTTCAAAGCACGTGTGCCCAACCTGACGAGCAGACAGCACTTTACCTTGGATGGATGCCTCAAACTCGGCATGTGGCAGGATGGCATCACTGCATGGGGCTTCTGAGCGCCGGGATCAGAAACCTGAGGAGACAGAGAAGGTTTCTCAGGGGCTGGTGCTGGCTGGGCTGGAGCTCCTCTCGGCGGAGTGGGGCCAGCCGGCCAGCAATAAAGTAGAAAGAGAGAGAATGGGAAGGGCAGATAGTAAAGGGCTGTTGGGAAGAGCTTATATAGGAAAGGGCTGTTGGGAAGGACTGCGTTTCCTCGCCTGCTTTGCTCCGAGTCAGCCCTTCCTCCGAGGGAGATGCCAGCTCTTCCCAGCCCAGGGACGGAGCAGAGCCTTATAGCGGCTGCGGGCGGGAGGCTCTGACCGCACACCCACGCAGCGCCCGACGCGCAATCGCCTGGGGTGGGGGAAAGTCACCCCCAGCCCACCCAGCCGAGGGGAGCAGAAGCGGGTGAAGTGGTGGGGCAGCAGCCAGGGTCTCCCTTTCCTGCCCTTTCCTCCCCTTCCCTCCCTCGTGTTGAGAGACCCCTCTTGCGCAAGCGACTGCTCCATCCCGGCCCCCCCACCTCTCCCACCCCCTGTGACTCCTCGCCGGCTCCCGAAGCCTTCTCGGACCCCCGTTGCGGCGGCACCGGCTCCGCTTTCCCGTCCCGGCGCTCCCCCTCTTCCTGAGCGCCGCTTTCGCTCTCGTTTCTGCGTTTGCCTCTGAAAGTGAAGCTTTCGGGGCGATAAAGTGCGTTTGCCTGCGCGGAGGAAGGAGGCAGGTGGGATTCGCACAGTTTTTCAGAGCTCTGTAGGTTTTACAGGGTGTCGGTGTGGAATTGTTTTCTGGCAGGGCAAAGGCAGAGAGATTCCCCCGCGAGCGCGCCCCGTTCCCCGGCTGTAAATGCCAAATAACTTCCCAGTAACAGCAGTTGCCTCTTGCTGTCAGGGCACAGTTTGCCCCCCCAAAGGCAGCCCAGAGGGGTCGATTCTGGCCCTGGTTGGAGGCAGTGGAACCGGCGCTGTGGGGATCATCCCCCTGGCTCTGCCAGGGGCTCTGGAGCGAGACCCCATCCCAGTCCCTCACCCTCCGAGGTCACCGACCCTGCCATACAGCCCCGATCTCAGTGCTTAGGCGCTGCATTCCTAAAGCCGGCTCAGAGCTTCAACTCTGTCCTTCCGGGAGCACCGAGGATGACGCCGTGTCCAGCTGTAACACTGAACACTCACAGGTACCTTTTGTGGGACCACAACATCCAGCAGCTGAGGGGGTCAGCACTTAAATCCCTTTCAGGTGACACTGCCATAAGTCTTGGACCTCAAGGATTTCAGTGGAAACTGAACTCAGCCTTGCAGGTACAGTGCTGGGCAGAGCATGTACTGCTGCCTGCTCACCCTGCACTGCCACTGCTTCAACACACAGGACTCTTGCACTTTGTCCTTCTGCCCTTTCTCACCAGATTCCCTCTGAACAGGCATCGGTGAAGAGTCAAAACCAGGTCACATGCTCAAAAACCAAATACAAAATCTCTGGAAATGTGGGGGAACCACAGTGAGGACCTGAGAGGATGTGGAGGTTTTTCTCCTCAGGAGCCAGCAGCCACATGATTTTGCAGATCAGTACAGAGAATTAACAATCCTGCATTTGCCTTCTGCAAGAGTCAAAGGAGCCTCTCACCTCCAGCTGTCAGTCACCGGGGTGAGGATGGAGAATCTCCTGGACTTCATTCTTAACGCTCTTAAAGATCAAACCTACAAGAGCTAAACACACCATTCACCAAGAAAATCAAACCCAGTTCTCTGCTACCCAGAAGGAGAAGGAAACCTTGATGGTCAGGAAGAATCCAAAGCTCCTTCCAGTAAGTTAAGTTTCTATCCATCAAGGTAAAAGAAAGTCCTCAGACTCCAGCAGGAGCCAGGGAGGGTCAGAACTCTGGTCCGACAGCAGGGTCTGGGCTGTGTTTATTTGCACTTTACACAGAACAGGTGATGGGCTGAGTTTCATACATCACTCTAAAACGGTTTTTAATTTTACTGCTAGTTTATCTTAATCCCCTGTAGCTCTCCAAAGTAATCCTGATGATTTGTAAATTGTTTTGACATAACCCTGGAGCTGAAGACTGTCAGGGTTTTGCTTTGTCAGTATGTATCATCTCAGGAATTAGTAAACTAATCTCCCAGCACTCCCCAGAGACTGAGGCACAGCCCCTTGAGGGATGTTTGTTTTTTTTTATTAACCTCTTCACTAGACTGGACCCAGCAGGAAGCCCAGCTCTGAGCCCACCTGGCTGGAGAGTTTCAGTGAGGGCAGACACTAACAAGGACCAAGAGAAAGAATTTCCAGGATGAAGGGATAGAATGCACCCTCAGCAAGTTTGCTCCTCAGCACAAGAAAGGCAAGGAGCTACTGGAGAGGGTCCAGTGGAGGCTACAAAGATGATTTGGGGTCTGGAGCATCTGTTGTGAGGAGAGACTGTGGGAGCTGGGTTTGTTCAGTCTGGAGAAGAAAAGACTGGGAGGGGGTCTCATTAATGCATATAAATATTTCAAAGGTGGGTGTCAGAGGATGGTGCCAGACTTGTCAGTGGTGTGCAGTGACAGGATGAGGAGCAATGGCCACAAACTAAAACAAAAGAAGTTTCACCTCAACATGAGGAATAAGTTTCCATGGAGGGTGGCAGAGCACTGGAACAGCATTGTTTCTTTGCCCTGTGTCACTAACAGTGGAGCACTCCCAGGTAGGAACAGTCTCCAGACTAAAACAACTCCAGGAAAAAGCACAGCTAGAAGTATATTTTAGTTGAAGGGAAAAAAATAAGTGTCATAATATTTGTCCCAGCCAATCCCACGCATCTTTTTAAGTGTTTCCTTTAGTCTTGCTGGATCTGGCAGCATTTTTGGAGCCCATAGCAGGTAATTTCCACCAGCAAAACTGACCAAAACTACGTGGCACTGCCCTTGAAGATGCTCAGAGCTCATGGCTGTGCTATGGTTTCCCTCCAGTGGCACGAGCAGTCAGCTGCAGCTTTCCTGGGAGAGACCTTCAGAGCAAACCAGGCACTGAACTATCCACCAATAAATGACATTTCACCACTCACTGCTCCCAGCCTCACCCTTTCCCCTGCTCGTCCTGGCCAGGGGAACACATCCAGAATTAAAAATGGGCATTGAAAAGGAGTGACAGGGACCTGCTTGGGAGCAGCTGAGGGACTTTGCCCCAGTCAGAAAACCCGGATCACCCCAAAAAGGCAAAACATGAGCCTGATCTGCTGCTCCTGGGAGCATCTTTTATTTATTTAAAAAAATCCCTTCAACAATGCAGGAGTTGCTTTACTTGTTACAAAAGCAAAGGAGAACTAAGGATGATGAAAAGCACTCGGCACAACTTGAGAAGGTTCAACACCTTGACCAACAAATAAAATTAGGCACATTTCAGGTATGGAGTTGCTTTGGTGACACCAGTTTTGAATTCTATAACCAGGGAAATAAGAACCTCTGTTAAAATTCAACTCGGTTTTCAGTTTTATCAATTATTAACAATAAAATTTTATTACGATAAAATTTTCTAAATTCCATTGATGTGAAAATCACCAACAGGGTGATTTTAACCTTTCTACATGTTCCTACCAGGACCATTGAGACCCAATACCCAGTATTTTTTATATCTGGTCATTTCTTTAAAACTTTTTTTTTTTTTAATAAAACCAAACCCAAATAAGACAACGGTTTTATGTACCATCTCATTTACAGCACCTATGTTAGATTTAAAATTGATAAAATTTTCCAGGTTAACCACTTATACCCACTACTCACAGAGAGTGGAAGTATTAAGGAATTTTTTTAAACCCATATAATATGATATATTTTTAAGTTTTAGATTGATTAGTTCCTTTTTCTTCTTGGAAAACCAACATCAGATAACACAGACACATGGAAACAGCAGCACTGAGCAGAGAATAAAGGCTCCTTAGAAGCACATTTCAAAAAATCCCAGCACAATGGAAGATGGAATAAGGCTCTGGGGTGCACAGATGAGAGGGAGCTTCTGCTTACCATCCACCACTAGAATATTTCTGTAAAAAATGATCCTTTCAGTATCTTTTGCTATTGGAGACAGTGGCTGCTGCCAAATACCAAACAGTGATTGTGAATCACCTCTTCCAGGAACACCGGTGTGGTATGGATGGGTAGTCTGGCCTCCTCAGCCAGCTCAGTTTCACTGTAACAGCGTTCCTGGGGTTTTCCCAGGGTCTGGTATTACTTGAAGGGCACGTAAACGACAGATGCCCCTAAGGATATAAAATTTCAGCCTAAGAGTGGCCACAGGAGAATTCACAGGTTAAAACAAGTAAAAAGTTAACCTTCCTAGTTCCAACAGAAGATAATGTCCTGCTTTGTTTCCTGCAGCGAGACCTTTCAGACTCGATCCCCTCCGCAGGCAAATGACACGTGTTGGTGCATCGTAATCCAGAGGAAAGGACCAAAGGGATTTACAGGAACCTCCATTCTGCTTCTGCTCAGTGGCAGAGCTGGAGCACAGCCACCACCTTCTGCTGGGCACAGGGGGCTTGTTGCCCTTCCTGTGGGTGGGATTATGACCATAAGAAAACCTGGATTAATCGCTTCCTCTTCACATCACTGCAGCACTCTGGGCACTTCTTCACCACCTGTAGAAAGCAATGAACAAAACACGTGGATAATGTGTTTCTTATGGAGGAAACACCTTAAATGGAGGGAATTTTTTTGTGGGCAGACAGTGATGGGACAAGGGGCAGTGGTTTTAAATGGAAAGAGGGCAAGGTTAGATTAGACTTTACAGAGAAATTCTACCCTCTGAGGGTGGTGAGGCCCTGGCACAGGTTGCCCAGAGAAGCTGTGGCTGCCCCATCCCTGGAAGTGTCCAAGGCCAGGTTGGATGGGGCTTGGAGCAACCAGGGATAGTGGAAGGTGTTCCTGTCCATGGCAGAGGGTTGGAACGAGATGAGCTTTTAGGTCCCTTCCAAGCCAAACCATTCTAGGATTCCATGAATAGATTCCATTCTATCACATTTTGTCCAACATGAATCACAAGCCACACTACTCATGGGTCAGTCTCCCAAATATCCTATCTGCCACTTGCATCCTCAGTGTTCCCACACAGTTACTTTGTGTTATTTTGCCAGTAACAAAAAGAAGAGAAAAAAGCCTCCCAGCAAAGTGGCACCAAACTTTCCAGCAGTTGTCTCAGGTTAATTTACAGCTATGACACATCTGGACGACTAAAATACAGGAACAAGGAAATGCAGAGCTGCAAGAGCTGCTGTGAAGTACAGCTGTACTTTTGAGTAAAGTCCCCTCAAGTGGCTCATGAGTTCCCTGAATCCCTGCTTCCTCCTGCACTGATGGGAATGAAGAGTGTCCTGGACATACCCGAACATGGGTGGCACACGTGGTCATGATCAAGAGCTTTGCAGGGGAACCAAGCACATTTATTTCTTCATAGCACCCCACACCTTTCTCAGCAGGAGACACGAGGGCGTGTGAGGCACCATTTCTCCACTCAGGTTTCAGTTTGCTTCTTCCCTAATCTTCAATTTTAAAGTCATTTGACCTGCACGTGAATCCCAACTGCTCTTTTCGTAGCTTGCAAATTACCGGTAAAACTAAAATGCTCTGCTTACTTCAAAGGGGAGACAGTAAAAAAAAAAAAAAATTTAAAAAATTATTTTCTGGGAGAAGACTGCCACCTCAGGAGGCTAAAATGATGGTCACCTACATCAGTGGCACTGCACAAGCTTCCCTGCAGTGTGCAAGTTCATAATTAAAATCACAGAATGGTTTGGGTTGGAAGGGACCTTAAAGCCCATCTCGTTCCAACCCTCTGCCATGGGCAAGGACATCTTCCACTATCCCAGGTTGCTCCAAGTCCTGTCCAACCTGGCTTTGAACACTTCCAGGGATGGGGCAGCCACAGCTTCTCTGGGAAACCTGTGCCAGGGCCTCCCCCCAGGGAAGAATTTCTTCCTAATATCCAATCTAACCCTGCCCTCTGTCAGTGTGAAGTCATTGCAAGAAAGGGTGCAGTCTGCAAGGTAGGCTCTAGCAGTAGGATTTTGGTTCTAAAAACATGAATTTAAATACCATAAATGGATGGGGAGAGGAAAACTCACTTTACCTCCCAGCAGACAGTGATTTGCCAAAGACAATTTTAAGTGTAAAATATAACTGTGAAATCTGGTATTATTGGCCTATATTGCAGATAGTCTAAATGAGAATAACTCATTCTCTCTGGAAGAACTGCTTGAATAAATGACACATTTAAACACTGGAAAGCAGCAACAGCCCTCTGGAGAAAAAGCTACACCCCAAAGCAGCATGTCCTGGCCCAGTTTCTGCAAAGTTTCCCCAGCACAGTGAATCACCCAACATGCTCCAGCACTAATCCCCCTAATACCCCTGCAGCTGCAGGGAATTCTGACTGCTCCTCCAAAAGCTTCTAAAAGCTTCCAAAACCATTCACTGCCTCTCCCCACCAGTATTTCGCTACAACAACAAATTGGAAAAGATCACAATTTGCAAACCCTGCATTGTGAATGAGGCTGTTAGTCACTTCCTCGGGGGACAATCCGCACCAAGGGACTTTTGAGCTGAAAAAACAGTGAGTAAGTTGTTAGCAAAGCAAAAAGGAGCTTTAAACACAGCCCAGTCAGAGCTGACAAAGCCTAATGCCATCTGATGAGAGCTCAGAGCTCAGACGTGGTTGCTCATTTCCTGCTGGTAAAGGTAACTCTGTCCCAAACGCATCCCTGTCACGGATGGAGCCGATTGCCTGTTTGACCTCCCAAAGAATGGATGTGTTAGGAGGTGGCTCCTCTGGGACTGGTTTCAGAGAAACACAGAATAGTCTTCCTGTTTGCAATCCTGTGCTCTCCCAGGAGGCTGTGCTTCCTTCTCAGCTCCATGACCAGCAGAAAACAGTTCTGACTCAGCATTGGGAGAACCATTTCTGCATCAGTCCAAGTAATATCCTAATCTTCAACAGTTTAGATAATAGGGAGAATTTCTGTGTGGAAAGGGTTGGAAAGCACTGGAACAGGCTGCCCAGGGAAGTGATGGGGTCACCATCCCTGGCAATGTTCAAAAGTCACGTGGATGTGGCACCTCAGGACATGGTTCAATGGTGAACACAGTGATGGTGGTGGTTGAACTTGATCTCAAGGTCTCTTCCAACATTAACCATTCCATGACCCTCTTATTTGACTTTTCATTAGTCAAATGACACTTGAATCACATCATGAGCCACTTAAGACTCCTCTACACAGACAGCACTCATCACCAAAAGGTATGTCATAAGTAAGATTACTCAGGTAAGTGGCAAAGATTGAAATCATTAATAATAAATTACCCACAGGGAATGATTCGTTTCCTCAAACATGATTTTGCACTGGATATCTGGACAGAAGAGAAGGAACACTTCCAGTTGGAAGGGATCTACAGTGATCCCCTAGTCCAACTGCCTGACCACTGCAGGGTCCAACAGAAGTTAAACCATAAAGGGCACTGGGGAAATGACCACCTCTCTAGGGAGCTTCTTCCAGTGTTTGATCACCCTCTTGGTAAAGAATGTTTCCTAATATCCAGCCTGAATCTCCCTGATAGAGCTTTGAACCATTCCCATGCATCCTGAGCAAGTTGTCATTTATCTATGAGCTATGAAAACACCCATTCACTTGAGGATTAAGAAGAAATCCAGACCTCAAAATGACCAATTTCAAGATGAAAAACACAGAAGAGGGTGGTACAATTGCTCAATATACAATAGTTCTAATCCTGTGGATCCTTAAACTGATGAAACAACAACTACAAGTTCCATCTTACTGGTAAAAGGAATGAGTTTTTCGTCAGATATTTATAAGGTCAAAATTAATGGGCTGAGACAACATAACTACACTGTGGGATGCTAAAATGCTAAAAATAACTCCCTAGGGATCTCAATCTGTCCTTAATCAACTCAAATCTCAAGCAGCAGAGAATATAAACACACACACTAGTAAAATTCTTGTTGTGACTTTGTTGGGGTCCTTTCTGCAGCAGAGGATTCTGCCTGTCAGATATTCACCCCATTACACTTTGGCAAAAATGGAAAAATTAAACATTCATCAGCAGGGCCTATTGAATGTTCAGCAACCCCTCAGCTCTTGTAGCAGACTTCCAAATCCAGACTATTAACCCCTGGCTGCCACGTCAAATGTTGAGTAAGATGCTCCCAAACACATGCACCATGGGACCAGCTACATTCTCTTGCCCAAAGAATTTCAACCACCAACTTACTCAGATGGGAAAACCAACAGACAGGATGACACAGGAGACACTTGAGCGGGAATGGAGAATCACAGACTCATGGAATCATTTGCCTGGGAAAGACCCTTTAAGATCATCACGTCCAATGCCTGACCCAGCGTTGCCAAAGCCACCATTAAACCACGTCCTTTGGTGCCACGTCGCCACATCTTGAATCCCCTCAGGGATGGTGAGTCAACCACTTCCCTGGGAAGCCTGTTCCTGATTTCCCTCATCTCATGATAGTGCTTTACAGTAGGATTTTGATGGGGAAAATGGTGAAAATAATTCAGAAAAAAAAATTAAAATAACGGTTAACACATGAAAAAACTGACACTTTTTTTTCAAGCTGACTCCACAGCTTGTCGCCTTTGTAGTTTTAGACAGGAAAACACGTGGAGGCAGCTCAGAAAGATGCAAATGTGTAAAATCCCCAGCTTAAAGCAGAGGTCTGCTTCCAATCACATTGTAAAACACGGAAAATAATGAAACAGGTGATAAATCTTCCATTGGGATTTGGGTGTTCTTTCTGTAAACAGCAAAATTCTGTTTCTAGGCTTGTTCACATGGTTCTCATGAAAAGCACAAAATTCTCCAGTAGTTTCAGGAAAAATCAGACCAGTAAACAAGAGAACCTTTAAGAACTGCTCCCAGCATGTTTTGCAGCAAGTGAAGTCACATAATGGACATTTAAAGGGCACATCATCCTCAGATTTGCAGTTAGAGCAGTAGAATCTTCCTAGAACAGAGAGGAGGATGGGGAGAGGGGGAAAAAGAAAGAGGAAATGACTAAATTCCAGTAATCACCTGTGAAATTCTTATGCATCCACATCTCCAGTGCAGTCCAGAAAACAAGGACCATAACCACCTTAACAGTGCAATACCTGGCCCTGTTACGTAATTTCTCTCACAAGACGTCACTCAGTCTCCCGGTGCTTCAGATCCCACTTAGAAACTCAGATTACATCCTTCCTTTACCAGGAAGTTGTAGAGAAAAAATTCTGTAAATTCCTGGGAAACTATTGCACCACTGTGATAAAGACAACAAAGCACTTTGAGAGCACGTGGAAGGTGCACAGAGTACAAACGCTGCTCAGCAAACCACGCTGAACCACGTTGCACTTGAGCAAATACAGGCATGAACCACTCATCTCACAGGCCATCAGCGTAATTCTCATTTCTATAACTTATCTTTATTCCCAAGTATTGGAGAAAGGCATCCTCAGACCTCAGCTATACCTACCACACTCTGGTTCCATCTCCAGGGGAAAGATGGGCACGACTCCAGAGTCTGTGGGTGCTCTCACGTTACCGGTTCCTTCGGATATTTCAGTCTTTGGCAGCCCAAGTTCACTTTTCTGGCTAAAGCAAAACGAGGAAATCTTACTCTGAATTTTCCCTGGCATGTCAGTCTTAGAAGTGGAAGCATCTGAGGATAAAAAGAAAACCAGCACACAAACTTATGTCATGCAGAACACAACACACAGACTCTGCAGAACACAACCAGCAGTAAATTCAGCTAAGTTGTCATTGTGTGAGAAAGAAATTTGAATAACTACTTTTTTGCCATTTTAGTTCTGCGGAAATTCTTCCTAGACAGAAGGAAGAATTTCAGCTCCCACCCCACTTAGATGCAAAAATTCTGCCTTCACCCTTAATACACTTCACAGTCTAAAGATGGCAAAACTGTAACTAATTTCTTCATTGTTTCCTTGCACTTCCTCATCTCAGGTTACCTTTTATCTTACACCTGTTTGGGTGGGGTATTTTTAACCCAGTTTAGACACAACCAATGTATTTGATCCTCCTTTACATGCCTTGGGCACAGAGGCTCCAGTGCATGAGATGGACTTTTCACAGGGGCGTGGAGTGATAGGACAAGGGAAATGGCCTTAAACTAAAAGTGGCCAGGATTAGATTGGGTATTAGGAAGAAATTCTTCCCTGTGAGGGTGGGGAGGCCCTGGTACAGGTTGCCCAGAGAAGCTGTGCCTGCTCCATTCCTGGAAGTGTTCAAGGTGAGGTTGGATGGGACTTGGAGCAACCTGGTCTAGTGGAAGCTGTCCCTGCCCATGGCAGGGGTTGGAATGAGGTGAGATATGAGCTTTAAGGTCTCTTCCAACCCAAACCATTCGGTGATTCTAAGGCTGTTGAGCACTATCCATCATTAACAAATAAGATTCTAAACTTCAGGCAATTGTTCATTACCAACCTTGTACGTGGCTGTTTCCTTTCGTGCACCAGCTCTCCAAGCTCAGGGGTTTCCCTCCGCTTTGCACTGGCTGCTGCAGTTGCTTCTTCCCCTCACCACAGACCATTCCAGTCAAACTCTCACACATCTCTTTGAACTGCTCTTTGTGGTGAGGACGCACAAACATGTAAAACCCTGGCCAAAGGAAAGCACAGTCAAATGCATATGAAAATCAACATTCAACCATGGAACACTCCTTTCTTTGGAGTGGAGAAATTCTTCGGAAGCTGAACAATATCAGCCGTATTCCCCAGAGTATCTTCAGCTTGGTGCAACACTTGATTTTTTTTTTTGTGGTCTTTATGATTATGGGGTTTTCCTTGCCAGAAGGCAGATGAGTACTCAGTATGGAGAACAACCCCACTTACCTTGAAATTCTTCTGCTCTCTACAACCCAGCACTTCAACCTGACACAGTACCCGGAAAGACTCTCAGAAAGGAAATTTCTTGCTACTGTTTGGTTGACAAGGATTCACAACACATACACACAAATTCTGTAAACCTCCAGTTTTGATTTATTGCCAAGCACAGACAATTCTATCACAAAGTCCTCTGAGGTCAAAATATTTGCTCAGTAAGACAAGTGCTCAAGGGGACGTTATGACTCAGTACCCCACAACTCATTTCCCTCCCACTCTTCACTGTGCCAAGGCTCATCCAACTAGTTAATGCACCAGAAAAAAGATATTTTCTGACAATTTGCAGACTATGATATCTATTCAAGGTCAATTAATACTTACTGTTACTTCCTAAAGACAACAAAACAAAACTCCATCAGCATTTCCTAGCATACACCAAATGTGTAATTTCCTGCAGAGGAGTTCACCCCAGAGACATGGGAGAAGGTGGAACTGAGGTGTCACATCACACAAGCCCCCTTCTTCTTCTTCTTCTTAAAACAATGAAGTCCAATTTCAAATTTTGAAAACCTGCAGCTTCCTAAATCCTCCCATCACTAAACCCATGAAAGGAAAATAAAACAAACCACTTCAGAGAAAATAAAAGTATGACACAGATCCGTAACTATTTCCAGGTAAAGGTCTGTAAAAGAATAATGACCCCAAAGTGTGATTGCTTACCCCAAAACCTGGAAGTGACCTAAGAGCTTAGCACCAGTATAGCAATCACTTTGGCCATGAGAACAAAACTGAGTCAGTTCAATAGTCAGCACTGTTCTTCCTAAAGAGGTAGTAATTGAGGAGAAAAAATGGTCACAAAAGCACCTGACTGAAGTTAGCAGAGCTGAAGGTTGGGACTGGAATTACTGAGGTCTTGTCAAACGTTTTTAATGGACAATTTCTAACTGAACAGACAGAAACAACATTCTATAACCTTGACATTTTTTGCTCTCTGAATGACGTACATTGAACGCATCTTTCCTGCTGCTCCATTTATCCGGATTGCTACACCAAAAGATGAGATCTCACACGAGATGACAGCACCAACATCTTTCCAGCTAAATAAAAGTGATTAAAAAACCCCCCCATCCCTTACTTTGTAGGAGGTGAAAGTCCTGTGGCCTCTCCGTGGTGAGGGCTGCGATCACCGATATCATCGCGTCATAATTATCCGTCTTCTTGTAAGCCAGCAACGCTTCGTAGAACTGGCTGTAAGTGCTTTTGTCCAAAGCCCTTTGCACATCCCTGAGATAGGCAGTCCTGAGGGCCTGGTGATGGTCTTTCCTGGAGCCTGCAGGCCTTTCAGCCTCTTTCCTTGGAGCTCGACTGGCATTCTGCCCTGAGAGACAAAGAACACGTGAGAAGAGCCCAAAGAGGAACAAACGGATCACTCCATCATATTGACTTCTCATTTCATTTACAGGGGGTTTCTGGACTACTTCAAAGTGGTAAAGCCAACCCCACCTGCCCAGCCACACACTTCCCTCCAGCACGGCCTTGGCAGAGCCAGACCTGCTCCTGGAAATGGCAATGGAGCAAAATAATTCTGGGGATCACTTTTAGCATTTTCTAGAGTTCTTTGATATTTTCAAATGGAGAAATGTGTCAGAAGGTCGCTAAGGAATGAGCAAAAGGTGACACAGAAGACTGTGCATGGAGGTCAGCAATAAATCAGGCTCTGTGCTCCACTGAGGGAGTAAAAGCATCTTAAACAGATGGGTCAGCCAACTCTGCTGGCCTGACATATGGGCAATTTTAAAGGACAGATTACTCACCCCCTGACAATATAAGGAGAAAAGGTGGGGTAGAGTGTTTTCCAACAGGAAAACATAATGTCAAAAAGACTATCTAATCTGAAATAACACTCAAGAGAGCACAAGAGCAATGCAGGAGGACAGCAGAAGGTAGGAGCAGCTTGGAACATCCTGCTGAACTCCAAGTGGACTTTGTTCAAAATCTCAATCTTTAATTTCTGATATGTTTCAGAGGAAGTTCTGGTTTGCATATTACAGGCATGCAAATATGGATGAAGGATATGGTAAGAAACCGATTTAATTAACCTGCCTTATCTTTTGGCATTTAGATCTTTAAAAGTTCTTTAGAGAAGGATAAAGATATTTAAGTTTCAAAACATGGGCTTCATTCAATTTCCTGAAAAGGAAAAAACCTGGGTGTGAATTTTATGATCAGTATCCTAGAGCTTTCTGACACTTTCATAGGAGTGTTTTCTACTTAAGAAGTGAGCAACAGAAACAACATATCCATTTATTGCTATTATTTTCTTAATTAATTTTAGTGGAAACAAGTTTCTGTGAAACCACTCTAATGGTTTCAGGACAAAATAATTACCAAATATTCTGTTTTATTCAAATATTCTTAAAATATTTGAATATTCTTAAAATACAAAACAAAAGGGAAAACGAATCAAAAGAACAACATGGCTTCACACAAGAAAAGCTTTTAAAGCCTTCCAGGAAACTGGGGGTTTTATTGTTGTTTTTTTAAAGAAGGGATTAACCTTTGACTATTCTTTACCCTTCAAAGAAAGACTTCAAAGTTGTCCAATGATCCTACTCATTTCCTTGTGAGAAATACAAAAAATTCCCAGCTCTTCTCAGGAAGACCCGTAATCAAATAATAACTGAGCCTTTGAGTTCAAAGATAAATAATGGGCAAGAGTGAGTTTAGAGGGATGCACACAAAGATTACGTTTGCTACTCTCTGTTTCTGCAGAAAAAACAGACTGTCCACAGGAGGAATGCACACATTACACCCAGAACAAAACAGAAACGGTTTCGTCTTCATACCTGGATTCAGACTGACGTAATCTAAAGCTACATCACTTAACTGGCTCTTTTTCACAGACCCTGGACAAACAGGAAGCCCAGCAGACTTGTGCTCAACTCACCCTTTTCCCAGCTCAGTCTCTCAGTGCAAAAGTCTGGCTTCAGCTGGTTTCTTTCATACCCACCTTGATTTAATTTATTGGCTTTTGTGCTTTGTTTTGTGCAATCCCTGCTGAACATTCTGAATTACCACCACTTCTACCTACAGGGAGTGAGCCACTGTGCTGGGTGAGCACAAAGAACATTGGTTCCCACTAGGAGAACTGAGAGTCAGTGGGGAAATGAGGCATAACAGGTCTTGCCTTGGGTTAAACATGAAGGGTACCTGCACTGTTCAGTCCTGTTGCCAAGTGGAATCCTCCCTGGTTCAGGTGGAGCCCAGGGTTCAGCTGAGTACGTGAGGCCTTGGAGAATGCACTTTTCCGCTGACTCTGTTTTCCTTCTGCTAAATAAAACCAGTCCATTAACAGTGAATTTAGGGAAGAATGAACAAAGAAAGGTGCATTTCATAGTATGTCATCCTATGCTGAAAACACCTGAACAACCCAGAGAAGCTGTGGCTGCCCTATCACTGCAAGTGTTCAAGGCCAGGTTGGACAGGGCTTGGAGCAAACTGGTCTAGTGGAAGGTGTCCCTTCCCATGGCTGGGGGGTGGATCTGCATGAGCTTTAAGGTCTCTTCCAACCCAAACCCTTCTGGGACTCCACACAGAGGTACTTCTCTGATGATGAGCCAACACCCTGCTTTTTTTAGAACTTTATTGCTCCACGGTTTCAAAGATTTCACAAGCTTTGTGAGGACACTATCACTGCCTATTCACAATTCTGGTGGGACTACGTGGGCAGCAAAGAAGACAAACAAGGTTTTTAAATCCCCAGACTAGATTAACGATTTAAATAGTTTGGTAAAATCACCTTTTGAAATAAATTGGCATCATTACTAACTCTGCAGTAACTAATGCTCAGGGGAAGGCAAGATGATCATGAAGAGCAGAGACTTAGCTCAGCACTGATTAAATTAAATTGCCTTCCATCCTTGCATTTCTGTATTAGACACATCTTGCTCTAAGATTGGGTAATATCCTTCAAACAATACAACTGAAACCAGCTCCTCACCTGCTCTCTTGGCCAGGATCTTCCTCTCCTCCTGCAGGAGGCTGTGCTCAGGTTTGTAGCCACAGCCCACTCCAGTCAGGCTGCAGCAAGCTTCATCAAACTGCTTTTTATGCTGAGGTCGAACAAACTGGTAAAATTCTTTCATTAGAGAGAGGGAAGAAGGGGGAAAAAAAGAAAAAAAAGAAGAAGAAAAAAATAATCAATCCACAAATGCTACAGAAACCTACAACAGCAGGACTTCAAAGTTAGGCAATAAGAAGATAAAAAGGTGCAGCTAAATTAATTAAAATCTAAATGTCCTTATCTAATATTTATACAATAAGCACACTTATAAGTTACAGAAAGATCAGCTACCACGCAAATATTGAGCAAAATTATTATCAGTAGGTAAAAGCTGTCATTTTTTCACTGTAAATATGAAGGAACACCTCCCAGTGAAACAGGACATGATGTGACTCAAACCATGAGGTCCAAGTATCTTCGAGGCTGATACTTTAAATAACTGATAGATTGTTAATTTACACCTCACGTTACTTACTTACTACAGAGCGTTTGCCAACCAGAAGCCTAAACATCAAATCAGCTTTAGGTTTCAGGTGCCTGACACTCTTGAAAACTAGACTCAGACCTTGATTTGATTATCAAATATTTTCTTATCTATATAGATCATCAGCAAATTGGGAAACCAGTTGTGGTTACTATTAGCACTGAGTGCTCATACTGAGCTTCCCATTCCTTAACTTTAGACTTTACCTCACACATTTTACAAGATGCATAACTAAGCCTTCATTATTTCAGAAGATGAAAAAAGTCAGAGAAAAACCTGCCCATTTCTTCACAAGCTGAGAGAGAAATGAGAAGTCACACAGAAAACACTGTTAAACTAGAAGAAATGTTGATGGGAGTTCAGTTCCTGTCAGAGCAGTTGTTAAAAGTCAGGAGAATACCAGCTAATCCAGTAACTATCCATGTTTGCCCAGACCCTTTGCTTTATACTTACCATTATCTAAATAGAAAATTTCTCTAGATATTCTACTTATTTACTGCTTTAACACTGAATCCTTATGAATGCATGTATCCAACTCACCCAGCCACACTCTTGAACTTATAAATCACAGGGAATAAGCCAAACTACTTTTAGACAAAGTCTCAAATAACACAAACTTCCACGGAATGTGAATTTCTTCAAGTCAAGATGCAAGCTAACATTGATAATTACACTGAGAAGATTTTCTGTGTGGTCTGGGGAGATAAAGTGATGAATGTTCAGGATGACCATCCTGACTGATTTGTACTTCAAATCTAAAATATCACCGAAATACCCAAGTTTACTTAAAAGACAAAAATACACCAGGGGTACACAAAATACACCAAATGTACCTCGTAACAAGACATGATTTTTCTCATCCTCTACGAAGAGGGAGCTCATTTCGGATAACATGGCATGGAAGTCATCTGTCTTCTTGTACTGCTGCAGAGCCTTAGAGAAGAGCTCATAGTTCTGCTGGCTCAGGGTCTCCTTCACTGTGCTGATGTACGACGTGGCTCGGGCCTTCTTTGGCTCTGGCAGCTCAGCTTTCCTAAGGGCCTGCTGGGAGGGCAGGAAGGAATTTCAGTACAGAATGATTTCAGTTACTTTCACGGGAATTCAGGTAGAAACAGTATGTTTACAATTCAATCATGGAATCACAGAATCATCAGGGTCAGAAAAGATCTCTAAGATCATCAAGTCCAACGTCCACCCAGCATCACCACCACGTTCACCACAAAACTATGAATGCTTTCACCTAACAGGTTGTAGTTTTGGTAGTCACCCCTGTATCCGTGTATTATTCACCTTCTCTGCTTCATGGAAATATTCCTAGAGAAGGCAGCCAATAATCATTGCACAATTATATTCTTAGGAGATGGGTTGATAAAATGATATTTACTCCAAGCCTGGAGGCTGAGCTGACTCATCATGACATCAGACACCAACAAACTGCAAACACAACCTTCTGCATGAACCTGTTCTCTTCCTTCTCCCCCTTCTCCTGGATATTATCGGCTTCAGGATCAGTTTTGTTTGCCAGGTGACTGACAGACTGACAGACAGGCAACATCCAGTTAGGACAGCACCTTGGACAACTACTGGTGCACAGTCACCCAGGGAATTTTCCTGAATTTATAGTAACTCTTAAGCAATTAGCTGCCTAATGAGTTAACTGAGTTTGGAGACAGGGCAAAACTACAATGCACAACTGCGAAGTTAACACAAAATGATGACCCACCTCAGGATGGGGTTGGATGTGATCCCTTACCCAAAACGGGTCAGTTAAACCATTTGAGGCTCTACCAGCAGCTGGACCAGCTGATCATTGTAGGTCCCTCCCAGCTGAAGTATTCCATTGTACTCAAAAAGGTGAAACCACCCACCACACCTGGTCACTGGGAGAAGTTGTTCACAAAGCATTCAATGCCAGAAAACAACTCTTTTCACCTATTAGCTCTACTGGGACCTGTGCTTGATTTGGTCTGTGATGTCTGGATTTGGGAAAGATCATGAAATAGATTTCAGATGTGCACTGTTAAGTATTTACAATTTGGAGAAAAAACATGCTTGTTTTGGTATCAGTCATCTGTCTGCCTGGAAATTTCCATTTCAAATTAAAGCAATCTACAGGATCAAAGGGATGGCACCGACACAGGGAAACACATACTGTATTGCTGACCAGCTTTATTTTCTTCCTTCCTCCTTTCTGCTCATCTGTTAACTTCTTCTCATACTGAAGGGAAAGTGTAGACAGACGATGTGCCTGTGAAGACAAAAAGACAATAAGAAACATACAAAAAAAATGCTTTTCAAAGCTATTGTCTCTTTAATTGAGATATTTCCAGCAGTAAAGCTTGTTAACTCAGTTTGAGACACCATTCAACAAAGTGAAACAAGTCAAACTAAATTATTGCAACAGAGTATGGGCACATATCTGTTTCCAGAAGGTAATAATTTACAGGACAAGTCAAAAAGAGAGATCAAACAGAGGAAATTAAAGACAAAGCTGGTCTTGATTCCTGATCAAGCAAAACTGGACTCACAGCAGAACACTCCAGGGCAGTCTGGGAGTGTACACAGACCTGTGTGTAACCAATGGCTCAGATACCCTTCACTTTCCTGCCTGGAAATCCTTTTTTTGTGAAGAAAACCTGTATTAGGCTTTTGGAATACTGAGAAGGGAAGCCTAAGCAGTGTTGTAGAAAATATCAGGCAGGTAGGATGAGACAGTAGCAGAAACACTTGTGGGTGAACAAGCTCTTCAGCAGCTCCCATTCCCAGTAACAAAGAATGGCTCTCAAGAAAGAGGATTGGAATTGCTTAAAAGCAGAGGCTCCAATATTAGATCAGTATCAACCACCTTAAACACAATCACTCAAGGAACAGAAGAAGCTGCAGGACAGCCCCATACTGCCAGCTGGTCTCTACACACCTGCTGAGAAAGCAGGAATGTGGAATGAGTTACTTCTTTGCTCTCGCCCAATAAAAATTTCATGGCAAGTATGTGACTATCAGTTCATTTAAGTTCACTTGTGAGAGGAACCAGTGAAACATAAGAGCATCTCTAAATTCCACTGTGACTTCCAAACATGGCTATTCAGATCACAAAGCTTCAGAGCCAAATTAAACTAACTGCAGCTAAACACCATCACTAAAATAAACAACTCCTTTGGCCAATAATTTCAGATGAGTCAATTTGTGGAGTTCTGTTGCTGTACCCAGAAATACAACCTTCAGTACACTCTTAATACTGCAAGGACACCTAATTCCAGACAAACCCGACCACAGTTTAAGTGCACATTTAAATATATTTTATTTAAGCATCATGAAAGGGAATGAAGAATCGGAATATAAGCAGCAAGTCAAATATTTATGATACACGCAGTAAGTCAGAAAAATGATCAAAACCATCTTTTACTCCTGTGTTATGTAAAAGCACCACCTTGAACAGCAGGATCCAGCAGAAATAAGGCTTCCAAGACAAGTTTCCATGAGACATATCTCACAAGGAAATCTGATTATGGGGAACAGCCAAGTCATTATTTACATGGATTGAGAGACTATTTATTGCATTTTGATTTTTTGAGATGACAAAGATTTTTATTCTTTTTCACTGCAGGCAAATTCTTTCAGAATGACAGCAGCTAAATTTCCATTTTTTAGGGAACAAGGATGCAGTATCACCTTGATAAAAGAAAAAATGATAACACAGATACCATGCTGGACAGTGAAGAAATACAGGAAATCACACCAACCCCATCCTCAGTCCAAATCCAGCGCTAAGTAAATCAACTCCAGGTTGGACTCAGAGTGAAAGCTGGCTCCCTCAGAGGCCCTGCATGTCTCAGGGCTACACTCAGGTCACCAATTTAGGAGCAGCACAGGATGACCCCAGAGTTCTGCACAAGCCTCAGAGAAGCAGTAATGCCAAACAGAGGAAGAGGACACCAGCTGAGGGACTGCCAAGCCCCCAGGTCTATCAGCTCCAGGAAACGCTGAGCTCTGCCAAAAGCAGTGCAGCTGTGTTAGGAAAGCACTGTAGCTGAGTTACCAACTCCCTGGAAATGTGCCAGGCTTTCCAAAGAATAAGTAGTGGTGTCTGTGCCATGGCGGCTCATGGGTGGTGGAGCCCATTTCCCACTTGGCTGCACACAAGTTAAATATTTGCTATCCTTGGTTCATTCCTTCTGTTCTGTACACATCTCCATCTCCCTTAGGCCTCCTCAAATATTCCTCAGATACTCCTACACCTCCACATTTTCCTGCAGGCATTCTTCCCCTAAGCAAACTGCTTGGGTATGCTGCAATAGGCATTCTTGGAGTCCACGTGCTAGTCTGCAAGCCAGCACCAAAATACTCCTCTGATGGCAGCCAGGTAAGGGAGCCACCCCTCCAACAACTGCAAACAGGGATTTTGGGAAAGGAGGAATACAGCCTAACCACTGATGCATTAAAAATACCAATCTAAGAGGAAAGAAAACGAACAGCACAGAAGCAGCTTTGTTGATCTTAATGCAATAGTGGATTCTTGATTTAGATAAAATATTCCACAAGTCTGCAATATTCATTCTCTGAGGCAAATCAAAGATTTTAATCTCAAAGAGCAATTTCTAATTCATAAACCCTCCCCCACCCTTTTTTTAATTCAATATCTGGCCTCACACAAAGAGCTGACACAGATTCCACCCAAGACAAACTGTATTTAACAACCTCTCCTCTGAGAGCTCTTTGCTTCCCAGAGAGCGTGGTTAACTTCCAGGAATCCACCCGGTCAGCAGCCTTGGAGCACAGTACAAGCACCTACCTGTTGATCATCTACTTGAACGTGGCAAGGAAACCCTTTGATTAAATTAATTATGAGAACTTGCAGTTACCAGTGCTGATTACGGTGAGTTTTTTGAAAGAGGGTTGAGCTGGAACTCTTAGTGCTAAGCTAAACCCATTTTGCTTTAAAGCCTGTGATTTTTACTTATAAACAAGTATTCTGCACACCATTGCCACTACCTTTTCCTCTCCTGGCAAGTCAGGTTCCTCTTCTGCATCTTCACTGCTCTTCTCACTGCGCTCCAGGGCATCCAAGAGCCCAACACACCGTCTTCTGGGCGAGACAAATTCTTGTTCATATTCCACACACAGGCTGGGTGTTCCCTCTCCATTTACTGGCACCAACAGCATAACACAGACGACAAATTAACATTCCACATTGTATCTCTTGCATTTTCTTTGACTGAGTGATACCTCCCAGTCTTGCGAAGCAATCCACAAAGACGTGTCGGTGGATTAAATAATCTTCCACATCTTGCAAACTTGCATTTTATCACTTCATAAGAAGACTGCTTTGATAAATCATGCCCAAAATTGCTCAAGCATTTGTTACCACAACCTGGTAGATTGCTTTCAAACTTTCCCTGAAGTGATGGTCTTATTTAACCTCAAAATAGCTTAGGATGAATGGGTAAAAGTCTTACTGCTTTAATTACTTCAGCTTTGTGGATTTCCCCAAAACTGGGTTTCTAAGACATTTTGGTATGAAACACGATTTATTATTTTTAAAGAGAACAAGTTTTTTTAAAGCCTACAGTTCTCACAGTATCAGTACCTGTAAGACACTGTCACCAAGGTTGCAAGAATACATATTTCCACTAATCACAATCCAGGTATATTTGGTTTTAAATATAAGGATTTAGAGCTGCAAGTAGGGTTAAATTAGTATCACTTTGATACTTCTATAAGTCATTCTCTTAAAAAATGGATTTCCACTACTTTGTGAAATTACTTCAACAGCCAGTTACTAAGAAAAGTCACCATTTTGAGAAGAACGGGAGCATATTGTGATATAAATTGAAAAGTCAGTACAAAAAACTCTAGACAAAACTATGATTACAGGCGAGTTCGACGTTCCAGTTGATGCAAAGCAACTGAAAATTCCTTTCAAAACAGGAATGTGGGACCTCCAGTCCCACATTCCAGCCCATCCTTTGAGCTGGATCTACCAGTCAAGGGGATGGAAGGTAAATTGCTTCAGCAAAGCTCATCTGCTCACTCTGCAGTTGCACTAGAGATGGACTCAAATCAAAGGAAGGAGCAAAACTGCACAGCTGGGAATTGACGGGGGGGAAAAAAGTGGCAGCCAAAGTGATCCCTTTCAACAACAACCAGCAGTCAACACTGGCTTAAATTTAATGTCAAGTCACCCTCACACTTGCTCATAACTGGTTTGAAACCAGAGCTTTAAACACAAGTGCATTGTTCTGTTCCAAACCAGCAAGCAATCTAGAGTGCTGAAATATCTGACATGAGAAATGCTTTATCCTGCAGCATTAGCTAACCACAAAATTTAAAACACTGTTTTGTTCCAATGTCCTTTTTTTTTGTTTTCTTAGCCAGATTACTGAGTAAGAGTCGTTTATACAACAAGATGGAAGAAGAGCATATTGAAGTCAGTGTCAGTAAGAAACTTCTAGTTCTCATTTTCAAAACTACCTGTGATATTACACCAAATTCCTGTTCTGTGGGGTACTTTTTCAGGCCCCATCTGCCTCTTTGCTCTAATTACAACTGCTTTCCTCCATTTTCTATTGCCTAACTATGTCCCTTCTGATCAGATGTTTCCATCAGTCTTTGAACTCTCCTTGCGTTCTTTCCCATTTCATTTTCTAGTCTCTTGATCCCCCTTTTCTTGGTTCAGCTCAAAACAAAAAGATGTATCTGCGAGGACACAAACCTACCTTTCCTTTTCCTCTTCAAACTGGGGACATGGTCATCCAAGATTTTTGCTTTTTTGACGGAAGGGATCTGCTCAGATGAAGTAGATGGTGCTGAACTGCTGTCACTTAGGGAACCAGTGTGGCCAGGAGGGCACTGGGGCAGGGGTGGGGGCATCTGCAAGCAGTTTGCAAAGTGTTACAACAGGCAAAAGCCATTTTTCTACTCCGCTCCCTTTGCAACCAAAAATCTCAGCAACAATCCAAAGACATCTCCTTTTCCCCAAATAACCCTTGATAGCATGATTGTTAAACACTCTGGATTTATGGGCTTTTGAAGGAAAGGATCAAACACCTGGGAAGTGACACAGATGAAGTGCAGTAAGCAGGCTCAGCACTAAGTGAGCTGGTACCAGAAAAAGGATCATGACCTTCTAAAGAACAACCACTTCCTAATGCAGCTTCTTCTGGCAAAGCACATCAGACTGGGGTTCTCATTTACCACAAAACTCTCACTGATGATAAGAAAAGATCAAGTCATTCAGTATCACCCATCTGTAACTTATTTGTCTGAACAACTTGTATTTGCCTAAAGTGTCTTCCAGGAACTCATCCAAGTCTGTATGTGAAATTTTAAGTGTTTATTTTAATCTTAACCTCCGTTTTGGGAACAAAGAATTCTCCATTCTGGCTTCCAGCCTGTTTCTTTCTGTAACTTCCTCCAGTCAATTAGGAAGTCTTTTTACAATATTACTTTTTGCATCAAGGAACTATTACAGACAATATTAGCTTCTCAATGCTAAGAGAGAAGCTGTATCAGTAAAGATGACCCAGTGATGAACTGCAATAACAACTGATAGTTTGTCTTACTCTTTATACCAGCCAGCTTCAATTTAAATGTGAGGGTATGACCAATTCTTCCACACACATGCCTTCTCCCTGAGGTGAAAAGCTTTTGGATGCCAACATCGGTTCCAGGATTTGCATAACACTCAATAGAGGCCATGTTTATTCAGGAGGAACTGGAAGAGGAAGTTATTTTTGTGATCTAACCTAATGAGTTGCCCAGCATAACAACAACATCCTGTCCCAGCTCACCCTTGGAGAAAGATGAGGCATATCTTCTTTCCTGTAAATCTTCCAATGCTTAGAAGTGACAAGTGATTCTGTGTTAAGTCCTGTGAGGAGTGACAAGCTGGACTCAATGATTATTATGGGTCCCTTCCAATCTGACATCATCTCTGATTCTCCCACATTTCTGACCTGGCTTAGGATTCCCAGTCTCCAACACTATTCAGGAAATCTGCTGTGTGTTTTGTGATTTTTTTTTATAGACACTTACAATTTCTTGAGCAACGCGGAAGAAGAGGGAGACACTTTTGACTGCGTGGCCAAAGTTGTCATAAACACTCACGTAAGGACGGACCCACGAGGGCAGTTTGCCTCTTACATCACCAGCTGTGAACCTGTGTACGATTGGAAAACAAGAGAATTATTTTCCAGGTTGGGTTGAATTAAATAAACAAACTCTAGATCGGTCTAAAGGGAAAAGGGAGGGGTAGCAAGACAACTGAAGTTTGAAACAGTGCAGTATATATAATGGGGTGATGTCTTCACTCAAGAGAAAAGGGCTTTGTTGATACCACATACCAGGCAATCAGGCAATTCCTATCATTTGTCCATAAAATCTGTAACTGGGCAACATGAACAGTAGTACTGAACCCAGACTGTCCCCAGTCAAGCCTCAGCATTGATGCCTATCAAACTCTTATTACCTATAATATACCTATTATATTAATTAACATTTTATGAAAGGATATTAATGCAGTATAATATTACTATAGTATACTGATAAACACAGAATTGTTTCTCTAATATAATCTGTCCTCATTCCCATCCTCCACAAAACAATGCAGTGCTGGTGACTGCCTTCTCAAGTGAAAGATGGAGAAAATGCAAAACCATAAACTATTACCACATAATGTCCAGAGGTATTAGGAACATGAATTCAACAAACTGGTTCCTTTTCCATTAATACCATTAATCTCCTTCTGCAGTTCCAAGACTGCATAATTTGGGAGCAGAAGATAACAATCTGGTTACTTTCTTAAAGTGGTGCAATATTTATATAAATTGCTGTGTTAAATAATTCAGTTATTATGAACTGTAGCTTTCTCCAGACATTAACATCAGTACATTTATATACAAAGTACCCATGCTGGGATATAAAGCTGTTGATGTTGCTGACACCACATATCCCTGGAAGTGTCCAAGGCCAGCCTGGATGGGCCTTGGAGCAACTTGGTCTAATGGAAGGTGTCCCTGCCCACGGCAGCAGGTCGGAACGAGATGAGCTTTAAGATCCCTTCCAACCCAAACCATTCTGGGATTCTGTGGTGTTTGCTTACATCCTAGAGCCCAGGTTTACCTGTGGTCACACAGGAAGATGGCACCATAGTCCTGGCGGTGCCTGATGACCCGGCCGATCGCCTGGTTGACAGCCCGGGACGCCTGCTGACTGTACCACTCACGCCCAGACAGGTACTGCAACAGGTGGGAGGAAGAATTCATATTATTTACCAGGTAAAATGTTTTCCCCATGCTGTACAGTCATTATTTTTTTCTAAAGATATTAAAAAAAAAAAAAAAAAGAAAAAAGAGGCATTCGACAAGAGGTATTGACAAATCTCGAAGAGCCAAAGAAAACCAAATACAGGTTGACTCAAATATCACACCTGAATTACAGAGCACAGAAAACTCCAGTAGCAATGTCCAGCTTGAGGGGCTATTTCATATAAGGTGCACTGACAGCCTTGGCAGTACAACAGGTTCACCATATTATTTAAGAATGACTGTGCTGCAGAACAAACTAAATTATAATGCCATTCATTTTTGTGCCTAAAGTAATAATAAGCCAAACCCAAACCAAACCACAAAAACCCCAACACACACTACCACACCCCCTAACCCACAATCCCCAAACTAGCCAGCACAGGCAATTCTTCCTGCTCATGCTTTCTCTGGATGAAATAAATCCCTCAGAGAGAGAGATGGGTAACACACACACAAAGATTTTTGACTTAAACTTTACTACACCCTTTTTTTGAGCCTATATTTGTTTGAGAATGTGCCACTGGAGACAGAATTTGAAAACAAGGTGACTACATTTGTGACAAACTCCAAAGGTTGTCTGGCTTTTTGATATCCGTGCTTCCATAGGGCTGGGAGAAAAAATCCAAACCCCACTGGGACCAGAGGGAAAAACAATAACACAAACCTGCAAACAGCCACCAGGGAAAAGCTGCCCAGTCTTACCTGTGCACCTGCACCACTTCTCTTCATTTCATCCAGAAACTGCATCTTCAAAATGACTCTGGGCTCCATACGAGGGGGAAATGGAAGCCCAGTAATGATGACTCCTCGTCCATTTATATCTGCAAAGTCCAAGCCTTCACTGGCCTGAAGAGACAGAATTTTCCATTATCAACAGGGTTTGAAGTGACATTTCAGAGCAATTCAGCAGTTGTTGGCCTTTTTTCTCCATTCAATTAATTCTCTGGCCAAGTGCAGTTTATGAATACATTATGAATAGCTTCAACTACATTTTTTGCTTTTATTACCAAGACTTTAAACTTGGTTTTTTCTTCCAGCAGACCCTGACAAAGCATAGCTCAGCCAACACTGTTAATGCCTGTCTTATTCCCAGATAAGCACTACAGCTGTATTGAGAACATCTTAAATGTCAGTCAACACCTATGTTTAAACCATCCATACCCTGACTTGTTAACAAGACATGGTAAGAACACAACAAACCTTCTCCGACAGTAAAAATGAACAGAATCATTCCAAAGCAATAACAGAAACCTGCCAGAAATCTGCTCAGAATTCAGACTATAGTGCCATGTCCACCAGCTGTGCTGCTGACATCCCATCAAGTATTTGTCACTCACGTGCCCTGTACATGCTCACTGTGCTGGCAAATCACTTAACAAAATCAGAGAATCAAACAGACTGAAAAATAATTAGAGGAGAAAAAAAGTTGGTTTGTTTTGCAGCTGAATCAGTTCTCCAATCTCAGCTATGAGACTGGAGAGAGCTATGTCTTTTCTTCACTGATCCAAAAACCTCTTTGGAGACTGGGATCAAAGGTTCAAAACAAGTTGGGACTTCTCTTGCTACACAGTAAGCAGCAGCAAAAAGGCTCTAAGAGTAATTTCTGATTTTGCAAATGTTTCTACTGATAAACATAAGTCAATTTATCAGCACTGGAAAACGTAAAGGAAAGGCCATCAAATGTGTCCAGAGAACATGAAGATAATGTGTTTTGAAGCTAAGGAATACTTTTGGGTTTCAGCAGTGCTGTTCTAACATGTTTAATTACAATTCTCCAAAACAATTCTCATCTAATGTGTTAAGTTTTTGGTGACCAGCCAACATGAAATATAAGTATGATGCTCATCCATTTTAAAGAAATCAAATATGTGTCCCTTTAATAGTAACAGCAATGAGGCAGATATAAACGTGACCTAATTTTGGAAAAGCTTCAGGGCACTTGGTTTTATCCCCACATATAATTACAGTCAAATAACAGAAATGGATTGAAATCCAGAGTGATGTTTTCTTCTGTCAACTCTATAATCTTATCTCAGATGAAAGAAATTCCCAGTTACCTTCCCCCTACACACTGCCAAAAATGCAGCTCCATTGGACTTAGGACAGACGACTTTATCATAGTAGGCATCAATCACCTAAAATATAAACAAGTTTAAGTACGAGCAGGAAGGTTATTATCCTGTACTAACTAAATTTGACTTGTACACTATTATCTCAAACGTGATTAATCTGGCTTAGTACAATTGTGTTTGCTTTCAACTAATTGCAAATGTGAGGAGCCATTTTCTCAGCAAAACCTTTACACCACTGTGAAATCTAGAACACATCTGGGTAAGCATGAAAGATTAACATCAGACACTTCTGATAAGGAGGTAAAACATGGACTGTCTTGTGTTTCTGCAGATCCTTAAGTAAAATTGGCAAACCAGGAAAGCAACTCACAGATATTATTTACTCTAAGAAGCAAACAGAAGGGCTGTAAATAAACAGATGACACTGCACAATTCTTCAACACTGAAAGCATGATGAGCTGGGAGGAAAAGTCCTGCAGAACATTAACAAATGCTGACTACTCAAGTGACAGCTTTCTAGCAGCTCGATTACTCAGCACATGTGTATTTTAGCTGCTGTTACATCACCGGATTTAAATGAAGACTGTACCCTGCACAACCAGCCAAGAGAGGACAAGAAGGATGCACAGAAGAATTACACTTCAAAGAAGCCCTCAGAGTTTTAATTTCATCCTAGGATAAAAATTTGGGTGTTTCACACCTAAACACATCTTAGAGGAGGTATTTAAACATAAATACAGTTTCTGAAGATGATAGAGGTATGTAATGCAAATAATCAACCTCTGAAAAGCTTCCTTTGTTCCTGGGTTCCACAAACATTGGCTTCACTTCTTCTATTCTTTTAGCAAAATCATGCTCCTGTTAAACAGACAAGGAACAGATCAGAAATGTCACGTCAAAGTGAGCACATACCAGAAGTGCCCACAAGAACAGAAACGCTCAGAAGTGGTCACTGCTTCCCCACCACAGCCTGTTCCTCTCTTGCCAAACACAGCAAGAGATGGAAGCAGAAACAAGCAATCCCAACAGCACCAACAGTGATTCCTTGTAGTTGGGGCACCTCAGATATCAGGCAGGTGGGAGAGTTCCAACATTCATCTCCCAGATCCCACAGCATGACAACTCTGCCCCTGCATCCACTTTCAAGAAGGAGCATTTAACTGTTCTAGCAAGTCTTAGCAAGGACACTCAAGTTATGGGCATAGAATCCACAAAAGTTACAGCTGCAATGGTTACAATTAAAAGTGAAATGCTCATATTGGGATTTCCCCCCCCCCCCCAAGGGTTGAAACACTCAGAACAATTCTAATTTGGGAGGTTTAATAAAGAGAAGTCTGGTGAAATTAAATTAAGTGTGAGGTCAGATGAGATTATATACTAAGATTCTTTTGGGTTTGGTTTCTACACCACTGCACTCCAGCATACTGTGATCAAAATAAAAGAATTTTATAACTTTATAACCAGATTTTATAACTCACTTATTAGCAAAGAATTTTTCATACAATCCCAAAATGGCTTGGGTTGGAAGAATTTTTAAGATCATCTCAAGTTCCAACCCCCTGCCATGAGCATGGAACCTTCCACTAGAAGGTTTTTAATTACCACGGTTAAATAGTATAACTACAAACTGTCCAGTGTGTGTAACCAAACCACCTAATAAAGGCAGAGCAATAAACATACTCTCCAGTATTCCAGGCTCTTATCCATGACAGGATACGATGGGAAGAACACCAACAGCCCATGTGGTACAACTCGCACAATGTTACCTGCAATGAGAGAAACAAGTGTGTAGCTGAGGACTTTTTCATCCTGGGATGGAGAACCCAGACTGCAGAGGAAAAGCAACAGAAACAAGACAAGAAATTGCACTGATTTCATGTGATCCTTAATTGCTCTACAAATGGCCCTTGGCTGCATCACCTCTAATTTTCTAGTTTCTGTCACCTTCTGACTGTGTTTAGGAATCACATTTTTGACCCAAACACAAACTCCTGACAATAAAAATTTATTCTTGACTTGGAAACATTAAGCCAGGGACCCAAACTCATTTTTGTGTGCTATCACAGCAGCCAGCTGCCTGACCAAACAGAAGTACACAAAACCAAACAGCATTCAGGTCTGCACTGTGATTTTTTACCTTCGTCTTATTGCACCTTCTTTAGTATTGCTCTTTTTAGATTTCTAAAAACTGTGGTCATCAACTCATTTCTGAAATCCACACACTCCACTTACCAATTGTTTTTCCCAAAGAAGACAAATAATCCTCTGAAAACCTACAAAGAAGAAAAATCAAGTAACATCACTGTAGTTCCTTTTCTATGTTTTTCATACACATCTAAATATCATAATCATCTAAAACCTAAAACAGCATATCCAGACTCCCAATTGCTCTCCTTCCTGTGGCAGGTACCCATATCAAGGACAAAAATTAGTAATACCTTGACTAAACTTTACTAATACTATGAAATATTCCTATTACTAAGCACAGAAGATCATCTAAACTTCAATACTTTCAAAATGCACAAATAGAAATGGGAAGCCATATGAGTTTTATGATTAATACTAACATCATAAAAGTGAGAGTTATGCCAGAGAAGTCTACAATGCTGCCAAGCCTGCTAATGTTAAAACTATTTAAAATAATTATTGATCAACTAGGTGTGGTTGCTACAGGGCAAAAAGGGTGAATTTGGTTACTGTGGTTATTATTTACTCATATAAATCCCTTCAGCTTCAACTGAAAAGCTCTGCTCTCCAGTGAGCCATATTTATGTTCTTCCAGCCCTGACTGAAAACTCACCTGTTCTCTCATGTCTTTAGGTTTCTTTTGCTGCCCTGTAGTTCTGTGTACTGCTTTCCCAGAAAAATTATACATGCAGGGAAAAAACCTAACATAGATATTTTTATAGACCTACAAACACCAGTATCACCATACAGATGTTGCCAAAACACAGTGAACTCAGTGAATTCCCTTCTTCCAAAAAAAGCCTTGTTCTAGCCCTTGGGCAGGGGTGGAATCCTCAACCTTCCCTCTTTAAAAGACAATACCTTCAACAAAAATAAACTGAAATGGCACATTAAACTTCTGAAGATGACAAATGCAGCCTGAGGTTTTTTCAGACTACAGTTTCTCTGTAAAGATCCATTACAGATGCTGAGTCCCCTTCCAGTTCTGTGAAACATCTGGCCTTCTCTGCCAGCAGCAGAAGCACTGTGTGCTCTGAACAGCACAAAGACAGAGGCAAAATGATGGAAGACAAGAGAAAAGCAAGAAAAACTATGAAGAAAAGCTTGACAAACATTTGGATATGTTTTCCTTAAGAAGGCAACACAGAGCTGAAAGAGAGACTGGTTATGGTGAGAAGCTTTAAACATAAAAACAGTTGTGGCAAACATGTTTCAGTCAATTAAGTCTTCAGCTAAGAAATTTAGGATGGGGTTCCATGTCTGTGAGGGTGACTGCTCTGTAAGAGACAGGGTTGTGGGTGGAGGTCCAAGCTGAGGTTGACCAGAGCCATTAAGGACTATCAGTGCCTCGACATCTGACCCATTCCAGACCCAAAGTTCTAAATTCTAAATTTTCAACAGTAGCAGTTAAAGGGTGTTGTTATTCAGCACAGTGTTTATCCAAGGAAAGCACTACAGAGACCCCCTTACTTCACTAGCATCCTCCTGTAAGCAGAACCTGAAATGCTGGAACCCAAAATTTCAAAGCAGAATTCCACATGGAAGTTCATTACCTTCTTTCATAGGTAGAAGTAAGCATAGCTCCATCAGGTCCTTTTGGAATGATCCCAACCCAGAGCTGGTGTTTATCGATAACATGAGGATTCTCCAAACAAACAGGAAAAGGGCTAAAGAAACACAAAGGGAAGATCCCAGTCATACTCATTGTATGATTCTCTACAGGTTACCAGTTCCAGAACCACAGACTGTTTTGGGTTGGAAGGGACCTCAAAGCTCATCTCGTTCCAAGCCCCTCCCATGGGCAGGGACAGCTTCCACTAGCCCAAGTTGCTCCAAGCTCCAACCTCGCCGTGGACACTTCCAGGGATGGGGCAGCCACAGCTTTTCTGGACAAACACTCAAAAACCCTGAAATAAAACCTAAAATCACGAGAGCAGATTTGCACTTTCAGGAATGGCACTGTTCCCACATCTAGGTACTCACATCTGCATTTCCATTGTAAATGATGAGAGGGGGGAGAGAGTCCCACTTGTGAGGATAATTGTCCTGACTCCCTGTCGAACGAGCTCGTGCATGCTGTAGCCAGGGCTGAAACACCAATAGCTTAAAGTCTTTCCTGTATCAAACAAAGAGAAAACATTAGGAAGCAAGTCTACGTGGAAAAATTAGCATATGGCACATTGCACAGGAACTTCTGAAAGCAAAACGGGCAGCATTTGAAGGTAAAGTTCCAGATCTATGGTATGTTCTGCTTTGGTCCTTCCCAGATTTAATTACTATTCATTAAAAGGTCATTGCTCCCTCATAATATACTAATACAAGAAAATATCTCCAACCCTGCACTTGCTTGGGAAAAAGAACCCTTTCTCCATGAGGAATTTCCAATGGCTATAAACCTTCCATCTAAACTTTCCACTTTCCCCACAGGCGACTGCCAAACCTTTCAGCTCAAATCTTCTGTGGGATGTGGATATGCAGTAGGTGTGACACTGGAAACCTGGCATACTATAAATTATCAACAGAAAGAATATAAAGAAACACAGATAAATCACAGCAATCATTTATATCACTGCTCAGCTTAGGAGTTGTACCACTGTTGGCCTTGCTGAAAACTTCGCACCAGCTTCTCAGAGACACGGGAACAGGGGAAGGAAACAAACATCTAGGTCAAGAACAAGAGCAGCCAAATAAAACATGAGTTTTTGTTTCTGATTCCATTCTGTATGATTAGTTTCAGTGGAAAAAAAATAAATACCTATATCCAAGTATCTGTGCATGTCTTTTAAATTTACACACTTCACTCCAAGCCTGTATTTCCAAAAAAAAAGCTGACGTTTTCAGGAAATCCCCATTAATATCTGTCCAGTGAGTCACTTACTGCTTAGAATTACAAGAGAACATCTATCCTTAGCTAAAGTTTTGCCCTTCCAACTCATTTGGGCAAACCCATACAGACAACACCCAAATTCTAGAAAAATCACATTCCAAAATTTAGTGAGTTTTGTATCACTTTAAATCACACTAAGAATTGGTGCAAATCAGCTTGGATCTGTATGTGGACAGGCCAAAAAGTATCCACAGACAAGAGCAAACTCAGGTCAGGACTCCAAGAAATTCCAGCATAAAAGCAAACTGGGCCAATACGGGGTGGCCTGGAAGAGGACACCAACCCCTCACATTTCCCTCATCAGTGCTCAGCTGGAAACAAACTTCTCTAACCCAGCATGATGACTGCCAGACACCAGTTATCCAGTTCCTGGAGAGCTTGGGATTGCAGTACATTTTTAGTCAGCTGTGCTGCAATTATGTCTTTAAGTTTAACAATATTAAATCCATTTTAAAGGTCCTATTTGCCAGAAGGAAGTGTTGGGTGTCACACAAAGCAGATCCCCGTAGCAGCTCTTTCCATTCCTGGCACAAGGACAGCTAAATCCAAGGAGAAATGGCTTGCTAATACTTTGCAACACGGTGATTTAGAGCAAACCAAGAGCAAGGGTGTTTTATCTTACTGTAAAACTGCAACAGTTCAATATTGGTGACATAAGGCAGCATCTGTGCAAAGATGGCTCGGGCAGGAATCTCATCAGCCATCCCAAGCTATGCCCCTTCTCCTCACCAATTGCAGTTTGTAGAGAATGATGCCTGAATGGATAATCTCCACCAAATCATCGGAAAACAGTTATTCTTAAATGCTTAAACTATTTCTATACCATTAACTACACCACCACAGGAAACCAGAGACTTGATCAGTCATGTCTGGCCCCTGCTAGGCTTGCACATAGCACAAGTCTCAACAAGCTCAGGTCTGTGGCACATGTACTTGTAAATACGGTTTTTATTTGAAAAGCAAATATATCAGAATGCATCTACTAAGTCACAGAATTCTCTGACTGCTTTGTATTTTTGTGCACAAATCCTCCAAATTATGCAATAAACTCAAAGTGTTTGTAGTGGCCTTTTCCTGAGCAGATCTTTAACTAAATCTACTTAGATTTATTCCTGTAACTTTAAACTCCAATTGAGCAACATCTCAGGAAAACATCTGCAGATAACCAAACAGTACTAAATTTGTGGAGACATTTAAGGGGATGTTACATGCAAAATCATTAAATTTGTGGAATTTTATTCTTTGAAGACCATTACTTTTGTCCTTAAAATAAAAGGACTTCTGTGAAACACATACTTACATTATTGAGCACTTAACTAAGTTGATAGTTATGAGGCAAAGTATGTACAAAGATCCTTGGAGAGCATTCTGTTAAGAAAGCTTAGGTAAAGGGATCTGTATTTCTCTTCTCTAATCAGAAAACCTTTTGTTTTCCATCTAATTATTAAAAAAATATATTAAAAAATGAATGCTGAAGTCCAACAAAGCCAAGCTCTGTGCAGCTTTATAGGAGGCTTAGGATAAACTTTGATTCAGAAGCCAAGTTTCTTTTCTTCTAAATATGTTGTTTTGAAGCATGGCTATATTGAGGTTGTTCCAGATCCCAAGTTCTGCAGAGCATAAGGAACAAAACAGGTGGGAAGAGAGAGACAAGGAGAGGGAAGAAATCTCAACTCAACAAAGACTGAAAAGTATAGTTAAGGCTGAAACTATCAAGAACTGACAACATGCTCTGAAAAACTTAGGAAGTTGCTCAAAGTAGGCCTTCCCAGAGAAGGCAACAGTGCCTCAAGGCATGGCATTTTATGGCAAAGAATTCACATGATCTGGCCAAGATCCCTGTTAAATTACTGCAGAGTTTCAGAATGAGCCAACCATTTTTAACACCTCCACAATGAGTCATTTCAACAGAGAACATTCATGGAGTTTACTCTTTTAATACCTTTGGCACACTTTTTCAGCATCGTAGCTATACATGAGTCTCCTCCTTGTAAAAACGTGGTTACAGGCCTTATTCAACACTAATTTTGGGTTTAACACAGCAGTTAAGCAGAGGAATACAGCTGGTATGAGGAGAACAGAACATGTCATAAACCTCAGAATCAATCCTGAAGGAGGGTTTCCCATTCTTGGGCTGCTCAGAAGATTTTCTCTACACCAATACAACCAACCATTCCATCACGAACATTATTTTCTTTCACTGGAATAATTGCCCAAGAACAACTCCAGCAGTTCACAAAGCACCAAGAAATTTTTACACTGAGGTGGTTTATGTCACCTCACCTTTAGAAGTAATTATAAAAGTAAAAAGCACCTCCCCAGTTTATCATATCCACAATGGATCTGTGCTTGTTTTCTTTTATTTGAACCAGAAAGGAGCAGTTAGGGAGTTTTCAACTCAGCTTTTGCATGAACCTCCCCAAGATCAGTCCTGTACCTTGTTTTTTGGAAGATGATGAATTCCAGAGATCTGTCCTTTGTTTCTTCTTTTGATTACCGTTATCCACATGAATATGTACCTGAAAGAAAATAAAAAGCATTTCTAGAAATGGCTACAGAAAGGAGCCTTCAAAAAAGCTAGCCCATCTTAAGAGTAATTAATGTAATTAGCGTCACTCTTACAGTGTTACTAAGGCTGTATTATTTCCTCTTTCCTGTTTTGCTTCCAGTGTTTCATAACTTTCTAAGAACCAAAAAAGTTCATTCAACCAGTCATTCTGAGTCAGATTACGAGAGCGGCTTTGAGCAGAAACAAAGAATCTCATTATTTGGGTATTTCCACCAGCATAAAACATGCAGGCTAGAAATAAAACACTATTCTGAACTTGCTTCATTTGGCAACCAAAATAGCATCAAGTTTTAAACTTAATATGATATCTAGAAAAAGATCTGCTCCTTACATTCATTACAGCAGCACAGCCCATAAGTTCTAAACTCTGAATAAACTGTAACGACTTCGGGGAAGGAGGTTCAGTGGTTCTGTTGAACTTGCTTGGCAATGGGCTAAACTAAAAAGAACAGATTATTGGAAGAACACAACAATTCTTGCATAATATGCAGTATCGAAGTTTTCAGAAATTCACATCTGCTGCACTTTCCTAATTTCATTTTAGTTTCTTCAAAAATTGCTGTGTAGCTCCCTTTTCTTCTCAGAATCTAAACTAAATACAGTTCCTTTGGTGGGGTTTTTTTGTTCTGGGGTTTTTTCCCCTTCCTGTAATTAATATCATCACTTGCTACACTGTCCACATCCTTCTGAACCTTGGACACGCCAAGCACAGGGATGAAACAGCAGAGAGGAAAAACGCAGCACACAAAGCATCCCATACCTTGTAATATTTAGATATTGCCTGACGTGGAAGGAAACCTGTTGAGCTGCCTTCTGGGGGATCGATGCTGAACACTGTCTGCAAAATGGAGGTGAACAGAATCACAGAATCATTGAGGTTGGGAAACACCTCCAAGACCATCAAGAGAAACCTGTGACCGACCCCCACAGCACCAACCAGACCAGAGCACCCAGTGCCACATCCAGCCTTCCCTTGAACACCCTCAGGGATGGTGACTCCACCTCCTCCCTGGGCACTCTGTTCAAATGCATGACTGCCCCTTCTGTGAAAAAATTCCTCAATTTTTCCTGATGTCCAACCTGAGCCTCCCCTGGCACAGCTTAAGGCTGTTTCCTTTTGTCCTGTCCCTTGTTCCCTGGGAGCAGAGTCCATCCCCACCCAGCTCCCTCCTCCTGTCAGGGAGTTGTAGAGAGCGAGAACGTCCCCCCTGAGCCTCCTTCTCTCCAGGCTGAGCCTCCCCAGCTCCCTCAGCTGCTCCAGCTGCTCCAGACTCTTCCCAGCTTCATTCCCTCTTCTGGACCTCCAAGCCCTCAATATCCTTCTTGCCACAAGGAGGTCCAGAACTGGACACAACACTTGAGGTGAGGCCTCACCATTGCCCAGCACAGGGGAACAATCACCTCCCTGGTCCTGCTGGCCACACTATTTTTGATACATATATATTTTTGATTTTTGCTTCCAGCAAAATCCCAAATGTGTTTTTGCACTGAGAAGTACCTTCACAAAAGTTACTGCTGTGATAACCTTAAATATAGCTCCTTGCTCCTGTTATTTAATAAGACGAGATTCTTGAATAAATAAGGTTTTCACAGGTGACTCCTGCTAACTACATGGCTCTCTCATTGTTCTAAAAATACAAGCCAGTATCTTAATATATTCAAACTATACAAATGACAGTATTATCATTCACACTGTTCATGACTCTAGCTGTGGATAAACGAACACATTCACAAGATCACAGTCACAACCGAGCATAAAAGAACTCTTTCAATTCCTTCAGACCAAAATGTCATCTGTGATACTCAACCCTAATAACACTCTGCTTAGAAAAACAATCAAGCTGTAATCATATCTAACTGTCCATTAAATTAAAAGTTTCTATCAACAGTTATGCTTTTTCCCCTTTCCCGTATGTGATGCCTCAGGACAACGGATGATGCTGTTTCAAACATATGACATTCCAGTTCAACTTCAATGACAACAGCTGTGGTTCTCAAATATTTATAACCCCTGTTAATTTTTCTAAACAAAATTTCTTCAGACATTTAAAAGGAATTACCCACGCTCATAATAATATCAGCTATTTGAAACAAGAAAGATGTTCTCCACCAGCGGGAAAAAAAAATACAATTCCTGGAAATATTTACTTCTGAAAAATAGCCAGAGATATGGTGAATTTGGTAAGTGTTCTTCAAAAAGGAAGAAAAAAATTGACTACTAACTGAAACAAGTTGATGATAAATTAAGACTCAAAGACAAGGCTCTGCAAGCAGCAAGCACTGCGTTTAACCAACGAAAACTCTGTCCTGGTCCCACTTTAAAATATCTCAGGATAGCAAATTATCCCATGGCAGATCATTTGCAGTGACTGTCCATGTGCATGTCCTCAGCAGCAGAAAAGGGATCTGAGCCTTCTCTTCCAAATTCAAGTCACTACCCACAGCTTAAAAGAGCACACACAGGCAATTATCCCCAGGCCTGTAGCACAGGTCACTGGGATCAGGAGGCCTCGCTCCTACCTTCTGAATTTTCCCATCTCTCAGCTTTGAATCTCTGAGAAACCAATTTAAATTAGGCACAACCTCACCTTGCCCTCAGAACAGTGACATCACCACCCAGTATAAATTATTTTGGTACCAGCATACACAAATTGCTATTACTGTATCAGAACATACATAAAGGTTTTGTTTAACCATTCATAAAAAAATTAAATTCTGTGTATGCCACTGTAAATACACCCTCACAAACATCCATCCATTCAGAGTTCAGTATTGCAAACCTACCAGGAACATTTAAAACACAGACAGGTAGCTTGTCTTTATCATGCAGGCCTGCAAAGTTTGAATATATTTCTTCATTTTTAGTTTTAAACAGGGTGTTATTCTCTGGTGCCCCTCTGGACACATATGTTGGACAGGCCACTGGCCCAGTGTACTCCCTAATTTTATGGGGCTCAGAATTTTCATAATCAAAGTTTTGGAAGTGCACACTAGGGAGAGGACTGAAAGCATTAGGTGGGTACCCACAGGTGTCACATTTGGTTCCTGCAGCACTGAAAAGACTTTTGTTTTAGAGACCTCTTAAGTTAATAATTAAATGAAAAAAAAAAAAGCAGTTAAGTTATCTTTTGTTTGCTTTTTATCCTTAGCCTGTCCTGTTATTTCATGAGAAGGTCTCGTATTCTGAAACACAGCTGCTACAAAGCAAAGAGCTCAATAACCCAGCTCCACCTGGTGGAGGCTAAATCCAGGCTAGTTTAAATCCAGCATCTCCAAAAGGAGAGACCAGAAATGCAAAAGAACAACCTGTGCAAAAATCACATTAGACCATCCCATCAGGCAGCAGCTTTCTCCTCAAAAACTCTAGACTTGTACCACTGCACAAGTGTACACACCATCAAAAATAAAATGGATCCAATGCCTTTCTACACCTTTTAAACCAACCCTTCTATCCTTCAGATGTTTATAGAAGACATATTAATTATTTACCTGGATAATATCTGAGAGTTTATGCAATCCAGATGTATTGATAAATATCCCAGTACCTGGAGACAGAAACACACAATTCCTCTTACAATACAAATATACATCCTCTTGTATACATCCACATCTTATCTGAGCAGCTCAACGTGCTGAATACAAAGCCTTGAAACTATTATCTGAACAAACAAATGATTTCAAGTTTTTCATCATTATTCAAGATGCAAGGAGAAACAAAAAATTGGCATTGCACGCCAGGAAAATTGTTACACAGTGGGAAACTGTCATCTGAGAAAATTACAGAAACTTCTCTAAACTAAAAATTGGATAGGAGCTAATCAAAACCAAGATAAACATATTTAAACATCAGTTACTTTTTTCAAAAGTGTCATGGAAAAAAGAACAGAAAACTGACTAGTCCATTATGCAGAGAGAAAATTAACCTTTGCTAATAAAATCTTGCTAAAACCCTTTGCTCCAGCTATAAATCACCTCTAGTGTGCTTGAAACAGTAATTAGAGGAGCAGCTAAAGGAACATATGAAATACATGGATGGTGGAGATTTGAGAGCAGAAATGATCAACAGATGCACCTGTCAAACAGCCTAAAAGGACAAAGATGCTGAGGAAAGAAAAAGGAAGGATAGATGTGTTGTCCTAGGATGCACTTGCAGAACTGACAGTCTATTCTAGTCCCTTCAATGTTTTTTTCTGAAGAGTCTGCTAGTAAGAACTAAATCATTTTCTTAACACGTGTAGAAGTTGGAGAATTTTCTTTCCAGAAGGGCAAACTAAGAACAAGATGCTGGCAGACAGCAGAACAGAAGCTTGTTAAACGAAGGAAAAAAACCCCACATTATGTGATTCCCAACGTTTCTATTTCTTGACTCCATTACCAGGGAAGAACTCGAAACACTAAAGGGGCCATCAGCAAAATGTCAACAAGCTTCACTCCACAATCCACCTGGTTTTGGAGAAAAATAGAGTCTGTGCAAAAATCCTCTATGGATGCACACACACGTGCTGGCACACGCCCAGGTTTTGACACAAAGTGGTTCTTAAAATTAGTTCTGTTGCATGAACAGACAAAAAACATGTTTCCAAGCAGAGGACCCTGCTGCAAGTCTTATTAAAAAGACACAGGTCCTCACAGTCAATTTTTGTTTTTAAAAGCTTTACAATTTAATTCTAAACAAAGAAGCCTTTCTCCTCCTCCCCCTTAACAATGCAAACTTCCAATCACCTGCACTAAAGAGAAAAAGCCTGAGTGAAACAACTAACAAGTTTATACACTTACGGCCTGAAAGATACTGTAAAATTTGCTCCAGTGACTCCAAGAGGGAGGATTTGGTCTGGAATGTTATTTGAGCCTCCGCAAACAGATCAAAGATGTAGCTGCAATTTACAAAGAAAAAGCAGAAATGGGTAAACACTGTAGAGAATCACATGGACACAATTACTGTTACTCTTTCATAACAACAATTTCACCATCAAGCAGCAAAACATGTTTCTGTCTCCATGAGAAAGAAAATTTTACAGGAATTAAGTGTTTGCTTATAAATAGAGCGGATAATATTGACATGACAGAAAGCACATTGATTACAACACTCCCATTTTCCATGATTTCTCTCCAACATATTAATTTAGAAGCAGATTTGCATGCTATTTCCATGATTATTTTTTACAATGTGCAACAGGCATTAGTTTAGGTAGGAACAGACTTGCAGAGCTCTGAGGTGCCTCAAACAGCTCACTGCAGCATTGGTACCTGTGCCTAAGTCATGACACAAAATTGAAAGGAGCTTTCTTCCAGCTCAGAATACCCAAGGCATACACACACATCCACTCTTGAAACACCAGTAAGTTCCACCAGAAATAATGATTACCACAGACAGGGGATTTAAAGAAACCCAAAGCTGTGAATAAATACTATTCCCAGACACTAGAACAGTGCTAGAGCCCAACAGCTCACCCAGCTCCACCTGGGTCTAGAATTCGCTGTACTTTTAACATGTAAACTTATTAATGAGAAGAAGTTACCTTCCCTCTTTGGTGACTCCATTACCATTCAGTGGCAGCTCCACTGCATCAATAGCACTTTCTAGTTGAAGAAGAATTTCTTCAAGAGAATCAAGAGGGGAAAAAGTCAGGGTGCACAGAAACTAACTTCTGGGACATATCTAAGCCTCTTTTTCAAATGTACTTTATTACAAAGGCTGTTACCAAAGACAGCAGCCCAGATGTTCTCTTCAGTCTGTAAACAAATCAAAATGATCAAAACCAATTTCCTAGGCATCATCTTTAAATATTCATATTCAACTCTAAGAACTTCCATGATCTCAATTCCTAGATGAAGCTCAAGTCACAAGATAAATCTTAAACTCTTCTTTATAGACAGAGAAAGTTGGTTTTGGAAATGCTTCGTAAACATGAGACATCTCAAGCTCTTGTTGTTAACTTCAGGTAGCATCATGTTGTTTCAGCAGAATGATGCAACTAATGTAATTCCAAGATCAGAAAACAAGGGAATTTCTAGCAAAGAAGGAAGCAACGCATTCATCTGCCAAATCTCTCTTCTTGAGAAAAAATTAACTAAACACTTCACAAAATTCTTGGAACAAGCCAGACAACTTAAGCTTCCATGAATGTCAGCGTTACAAGCAAGGTCTACGGAAATGCTACATGAGTTTGATTTATAGTTGCTGACTTTTTGAGCCTGTTTCAACAACGGTTTTCGACAACACAAGATAGAAGCTTACTCTTGATCTTTGCTATATCTTCGAGTTCCATGTTCAGTCCTGTTGAAGAAAGGAAAGATTTCAAAGAGGTTGTTTCACGCCTATTTCATTCCCAGTTTCTTTGTGCCTTTTCACAAATTACAACTATGAAGGTTAGAACTGTGTGTATGGAAAGACATCATCTGTGTTCCCCTCCCTCTTATTTCCCATGACCCCTCATGTCACACTGGTTTCATCAAACCTTTCCGTGTCTGGCAGCAATTACTAATTAACAATAATTTACCTACTAACAAGAGTGTAAATTTCCCAGAAACTTTCCCTAAAAGTATCTCCCAGTGGCACCCTATAATCCCAGAGGAACAGCGACTTGTGGTTGCCAACAAACCTGAACTGGCCAACTCCATGTTGAATTCAGCATTGATTTCATTCTGTTGAACAACTTTGGCTTGTTCCTCTAGGACGACGTTTATCGCATCCATCGCCGAAGCCAAATCACAGGGAGTCAGGTCAAAAGAAGAGGACTCCTCACACAACTTCTCCTAAAACATAAGCCATGGAAGAATTTTTCTGGTTGCTCTGTGTGCTGTTTGCTCGGGCAATTTCAGAGATGATGAAGTCCAGGTGACTGGGCTTGATTTCATTTCTGATCTCCAGCTCAGGCCAGAGGACATTTTATAAGCACCTGAAGACTCTGACTTTTACTAAGTATCCTTTTTTTCTGAAATGTAGAACAGATTTTGCCTCGTCCATATTATTAACATTCTACAGAGTACAGACAGTAATTGTTTGATGACAAACTGTTCAAACAGGAAATTTTTTTACTTAGGGAATCAGTTCATCCTTCAAAAAAGCTACTTCTGGTCCCTCTCACACTCTTAAAAAATACTTGTATCCCTATATTCACTCATAGGAAGACATGATCCTTGCCCCTCTTCATTTTGCAGAGATGAGGATGTGGAGAAAAAAGGGAAAGGACACCATGAAAAAGAAAACAAAAACAAAAAACCACAGTAAAACGTTTATTATTCCAACGTAAAACTTGGGCCAAAACATATGGCAGGATAAATAAATACTATTAAAGAAAAGGAAGGAAACACACTAACTTTCTATTAAAAAAGAAGTAATGGTTTAAACACTCATAACCGACAAATTTGACAAAACTCTCTCTGAAAATTAATTCACATACAGTTCTGCCAGAAATTTTCATTCACAAAAAGAACCATTTTCCCCAAGGAACAAAGATAAATTGTAAGGTCTAACCTACACAAAAATTTGACTGCAATAGCTATGAAGAAACAAGTCATAAAGAAAAAAAAAAGTTGAGCTAGCTGCATATGTAAACAATCTAATCAGAAATAAATCCATTTTATTTTGGGGTAATCACTAAGTTTCCACATATTAACCTGGAACAGGCAATACCATCAGAGAACTATTGCAAAAAGAGTAGCTGTTCTAGTTAACTTCTGCATGCAGGCACATCAACTAGTACTTTTTAAACACTACAAAGGGAAAAAAAAATCCAAACCCCAAACAACTATGTCTGGATTTCCATTCATCTTTCTAAAGAAAAACAGATATTCTGGGGAAAGGAGCAAATACTGAATGCAACCATGCATTCAACTTCACTTTCTAGTGAAGCACGCTAGACCTTGGTGTGGCTGTTTACTGAAAGGACACATGCAATCAGACCAGAAACCACAGCTGTTCAGCAGAAATCCCACTAGGAGGCTCTTCATGTGGCAGAAAAAAGGGACATATTTCAAGTTCCTTTGCAATTCATCATTTAGGCAAAGGGCTGCAGTTTTGAGCCAGTTAAAAGAAGAACTCACAACACTGCACTATTTGTTTTTTCTTGTTTTCCTCTATGAGTGAAGACTTGGAAATATTACAAGAGCCCTGTTTGCCATCTATTGCACTTGGGGGAGCTGAGCTTCAAGAATGGATCTTTCATGATTTCTTAGACCCTGGAAGAGAAGTCTCCAAGAAAATAAGCACCTCATAAATTTGGAGATGTACCTTTCAGAAAGAAACTATCACCTTGTAAAAAAATCAGTGTCAAAAAAAAGCAGTGTCAAAGGACTGTAACTTAAATCACAAACCTTTAACTGTCATGGAAACAAGAAATGTTTGTGATAATGAATATCAAAACCATATATTTGAGTACAGATTTTACAGACTGTTTGTAATTGGACACAAGTCTATTTTCTCTGTGGATGAAAAATGGCAACAGACCAGAACAACTTACCACATTGTGAGCTTCATCAAGTATTACCACAGTCCCCTTCAGGTCTAAGTTGTGAGCTTTCCGACTCTAAAGACAAAAAAAGAGAACAAGGGACTGGACAAAAAGGTCACTGAGAAGTATGGATTTGATTGGCTGGGGAATTGGATGATGAGATACATTTGGGTTTTCATCTACTTTGAAGCTGGGTTGTTTTTTCCCTTTGAAAAAACAGCAAGTAAAGGTTGTGGCTAATCAATATAGAAACCACAGAATCACTTTCTCTGGAAATTAAGGTGTTAAAATGCATCATGTAAAAGTTTACAGAGGTTACGACTTGTTATAAACAAAAAACCTCAGATGTACCATACTGGGATGTACAAGTTCAACAGAATTCATTTCAGTTACTATTTTTGGCAACAGGAGTGGAGTGTGAAGCAGGGCATTTGTCTTGTATTGACAAATTTTGTTGTCTTTGCAAGAAGTGGATACTCTGAAAACACCCCTACCAGTACCACACCATGTCACTCATTTCACAGTGTTTCTTTGCTTATGGTGCTTAGGATATTTTTTAAATTTAGTTTTTAATTTATTAAACATTTGGTCCGTCTGCAGCAGTGGAGCGTAATCTGGATTTTGTTATAATTCAGGAATTACTCCAAGTTGCATGAAGATGTCACCACATTCGTTTCCTCAACAGAGTTTTCAGAGGTTTCATTTTCTATCCATGAAATATGGACAACTTACTACAATAGTTTTGTTGTAGTAAAAAATAATTACTTCCAAGGGATTATTTCCAAGGGATATGTCCAATCTCTACTGAAGTTTCCTTATTCTAGAAATCATGCAGCTGCTGCAGAAACAAAAATGTCTCAGGATACATGCAAAAATATTGCATAGTGTGTGACTGAAGGTTTGTGTCCAGAAGGTGAATATCCCCAACCAGAAGGGCACCACATTCTACAAAGCTAATTCTACAAAAATCTAAACATCTCAAACAAACAAACAAACAAAAAATTTCTTAACTGTAGGAAAGAATTTACAGAGAACCCTCAAAATGTCACCCTCTATGGTTCTGAACTTGAACTGGGGTTTGATCAGTTTTGAAGTATCCACGTAATGCATCCACTTGCTAGGTATCATTCTTCATAGCCTATCCACTAAAAGCTAATATAAAACAAACAGAAGTACAATTGTATTTAAAAGTAAATACATATATTACCTTTGAGTCTAGTAAATAGTTGTAAGGCATAAAAATAATGTCTGCTTGCTGCTTCAGGCTTCGAGAGAAATAATAAGGACAAGCTCTGTTGAAAAAAAAGCGATACAAACTATAATACTTGCAGAAATATTAAGATTGCATTCAACATTTATGAACTATGATATACAAGGGTAATAATAAGACCGAGCAGAAAAGTAGTGTTCATTATTTTCACAAGTCATGGGGAGGAAGGTCAGAGGAGATCCTTCACCTGTGCTTGTTTCCATTTTTAACCAAGTCTTCAATATCCATGATTGGTTCAATCAGTTCTTTCTCTGTACTCTTTTCTGTAAAACATGACATTAAAGCCATCAGCTCAGGTAAAGGTATCACACAAAGACTTGTTGTTACTCTGATCATCACACTCACCCACTATTATCTCATTCTTGAAAGACAGTAACACAGAGCAAAACACAGATAGATTCTGCCACCAACTCTTCCAAACTTTTCTACGTGCCTAGCAAACCTCTCCCTCCCCAGAAAATGTGGCTTTGCTTCCAGGTGAAGTAAAGGTGAGCCCAACTCACCTTCCACATTGTTATAGAAGTGACAAGCACGAGCCATCACTTTCATTCGGCACATGTAGATCTGCAAAACAAAGTCCATTTTAGCCCACAGTGGCACAGCTTGTCAAGCACTGAGAGAAGCAGGTTAAGGAGTGAGGAGATACCAATTTTCTCTAGCACCAGATAATTAATAAGGCTAATTACAATTCTTCAGTTTTAAAATCATGTGTCCCTCTGTCCACATTGCAAGTCAGGCTCTCTTTTTTGCAGCACAGAACACTCAGCTGCTCTGAGACAATTTTGCTGTTTTGTCATTAGTACTTTTCAAAACTGTTAATCCTTGACGTTGTAAAAATAACAGGTAAATCAATAACTAAAGCACTACTTTTTAAATTATTATCGCTCTTGACAAACACTTAAGAGGCAGGTCAGAAAGTGAAGCACAAAATATTAACTGTCATGTTCTACACAGTGACATCTGTGATTCTGTGATCCTTCCCTGGACGGAAAACATCACCAGAGACTCAAAATCACATTTTGCACTCACAAAACTAGAAACTAGAAGTTCCTTGAACAACATTTACAACTACTGTGTTTCCCTACTGCCCCCAGTAGTTTAAACAACGTCAGAGTGAAGAATGACACACAAATGACACAAAAGCCTCCGTGTTCTCCCTGTACATCCTCTCTAGGCTCTGATCTCACCTGCATGTGGTTGTTCTCCTGTCTCTTCACTTCAGGATTGATGCAAAGCTGCTCTCTGGATCCCAACACACATATCTTTGGCCTGTTCAAACAGGATACACAAACCCGATGTTAAAAACAAGGCAAGAAAGAAGAACAGAGTTGCAAGTGTCTAGATTCAAAGTATCAAAAGTGAAAGATTCAGGAGAAACAGATGAGCCCAAAACAAGGGTAAAAACCAGAACAAGTAAATTAGTCTGTCTGTAACTGCTGTACATGTTATTTGGCTTTCTGGCACTGCATTTCTGTGGCAGTAGAGTGTGTTAATAAGCAGCAGCAGCAGCAGCTCACAGCAGGAGGTAACAGCAGCATCTTACACCATCCACCACAAAGTCTGGGTTCTGTTATGACAGTTCAGCCCAGTCAGCTGGGCCTGTCATCCATTACAAGACATTTTGAGCCGGTGGGGTTGTTCAGAGTAAGGTTGTGACAGAACTGATGCTCTACAAACATTCACAATATTTTTTTTTTCTGCTTATCACAAGGTTGTATCTTTACAAGAACTATACAAACAAATAACTACTGCCTGTCCAAAGAGCTCGGCCACACACTGGCAGGTCAACAGCTGAAAACTGTGACAGGCATTGGTACAACAAACCCACAAAGTTCTTCATAGATTTACATCAGCCTGAGGAATTCAGCTTGGTGACAGCTTCCCGCTGCCTTAAAGAAATGCCCCAGGGAGAATATAAAGAAAGGGAATTAAAAAAGGTAATTTTGTAAGTAAATGTGCCAAGTGAAGAACCAAAACCATACTAAATTCAGAAAATTCTATGACTGAAGAAGATAAAAGAAGCTGTGGAGTATCAAAATAAACCAGACCCAACAACAATGAAATCCAGGTTCTATTCATGCACAGTAAGGGAATGACATTTCTCTGGATATAGCTTTTTATATCCATCCACAGAATTTCAAACGATAACTACATCAGATGGGTTTGTCCACCTTTTCTTTGAATGGCAACACTACCCTAAATCATACTTGCCTGTAGACTGTGTTCTTCAACTCATTAATGACTTGTGTAAGTTGGGAGTGAGTTCTGGAGGCATAAATTATTTTCGGAATGTCAGTGTAATAAGCTGCCAAACAGAAGAGGAAAAAAGCAGAAAAACATTAGGAGCAGGGACAGAAGAACTAGGGATATTCTTAGCCTCTTTTCCCAGTTGGTACTATGGTAACAGTTTGCCTTGTAGAGACAGCAGGAAATTCTGTCATCTAACAACTCACACCCACCAGATGAGCTAAATGAGTTTCTAACGTTGTAAGAAAAAATTAAAACCACGTGAAACACCCCTGAAAAACCTACAAAACGGTGAAACTGTGCTTCAGCCGCTCAACAACAGCTCCATAACTTCTATAATCATGTATTTATCATAAAAGATAGACAAAAGCAAGTGTTGACTGACATCCCTGAGGGCAAAGGTGGTGGTACTCACTCGGGACCTCGCCATCCGTGGCAGCAGTGCCCCAGGAGGACAGGGGTCTGTCTGGAAACAGCTCCACCCCGTGCAGACGCTGGGCGATTTTCCGGGCTGAGATGGTGTCCTTGAAGTGCTCCCGCCAAGCCAGGGTGGAACACAGCAGGCAGAGGGTCTTCCCCGTGCCTGTAGGGCTCTCCAAAATGCCATTCACCTTCTTTATTGGACGGAAGTAAAATAATAAGGGAATAAGTGAGTAATTTGGAGGTTCAGCTAGAACAGGTCTTGGCGTGGTGCTGCACATCCACTGCAAAAAGCAAACACCAGCTGGCAGCCCCTATCAAGGAACACACACACACACAAGCTCATCATCCATGCACGACCTGTAGGACCCTCTAATCAACTTAATGAGGCCCTTCCAACCCAAATCATCCACGATTCCATGACAGCCCAGGCAGCCAAGGACAGACTGCACGAATACAAGTACTACTTGCTCAGTTTTATTTCCTTTTCCCTAATTAGGCAGGGACACCCTATATATATTTCAACCGACTGTCACTTGCCACCTGGGTTTTCAATAATCATAGAGTAAAATAAAAATAGAAGCAAAAGGTCACAGAAAACTTGGAAAAGGTAGCAAACAGACAACATAAAGGAAACTTGAATTGTGACAACTTCTTCTTAGAGAAATCATTTTGTATAGTGGGCAAATGAGCCAAATTGCCCCCATGGAGGCAGCACGGACCCACCTTCTGCAGGCACTCCAGCACCTTGGCCATGTAGGCTTCCTGGCATGGGTAGGGTTGGAAGGGAAAATCCACTGTGATGCCGTTCAGAGTGATCCTGGGCATGGTCCTGTCAGTGCCTGCAAGGAAACACAGGCTGTGACTGATCCTGCTGCCACGGTGTTATCGGAGTGACAGAATCACAGTCTGTTTTGGGTTGGAAGGGACCTTAAAGCCCATCTTGTTTCAACCCCCGGCCATGGGCAGGGACACCTTCCACTAGACCAGGTTGCTCCAAGTCCCATCCAACCTGGTTAAACACTTCCAGGAATGGGGCAGCCACAGCTTCCCTGGTCAACCTGGGCCAGGGCCTCACCACCCTCACAGGGAAGAATTCCTTCCTAACACCCAATCTAACCCTACTGTTTGTCAGTGTGAATCTATTCCCCCTTGTCCTGTCACTCCAGACCCCTCTAAACAGGCTCCCTCCACCTTTCTTGTCGGCCCCTCCTGGCACCGAAGGGACAATCAGGTCACACGCAATCTGGGACGGGGCGGTACCGGCGGGCCGGGCAGGAGGCTCAGGGGCACTCGGGGCCCGGGTTTCCATGTTCCCGGTCCCCTCCACCCGCTCTGGCCCACGTTCCGGTATTCCCATATTCCCACATCCCCCTATTCCCGAGTCCTGGTATTCCCACATTCCCCCATTCCCATACTCCCGTGTCCCGGTATTCCCACACTTCCCCATTCCCGTACTCCCGTGTCCCGGTATTTCCACACTACCCCATTCCTGTGTCCCAGTATTCCCACACTCCCCCATTCCCGTGTCCCGGTATTCCCCTATTCCCGCACCTCCGGCTCCGCCGTTCGCAATCCCCGCGCCCGTGTCACGTGCCCGCCCCACTCACGCTCCGCGCGTGACTTCCGGCGGGCGCTCTCGCGAGAGCGGCGCTGTTGCCCCGGTAACGGCCAGGGGAGGCGGTGGCCATGGCGGGCCCGGACTCGGGCCCGGGGCGGGTCCCGGGGGATCCCGGGCCCGGGGAGCGAGCGCGGCCCGGGGGCTGGTGCCCTGTCTTTTAAGGGGCCCCGGGCAGGAGCGGTCCAAGCCCGGTGGGGTTTGGGCCCTGCCGCACCTGAGGGAAGCAGGCCTCTCTCCCCTGACAGGTGGTTCAGCCGGAGGGTCCCGCAGCCGCTTCCCTCGGGGCGTTGGCCGAGGTGGGGCCCCGAAGAGGCAGAAATCGGCTCTCCGGTCGCTAAAAACTGCATTTCCAAGGCCTCCCAGCCGTGTGCGGGTGCCCCGCGCCGGGGCCGCCCGGGACTGGCGTTTCTGCCCTTTTTAAGGACTCGGGAGCGTGTGATGAGCGCTGCCCTTCTCCGGGCGGTGTCCAGGACCCCGCTGTGCTTTGTGCTGGGCGGTGCTGCAGGGAGAGGGCAGAACACGGCAGGAGGCTTTGTGAAACCCTCAGCCTTTAAGGTGGGAGGGGTTCTGTGTCGAGCCTTGTGGCTCCCGCCTTAGGAGCAGTAATGAATTCTGACGGGTCTCTTTTGTTTGGGGTGAACGTGCCGCTCCTTTGTTCCCAGCTTTTCTTCGGCGCGGTGCTCCCACCCTTCAGCCCCCTGTCAGTGTATTCATGGAACGGCTCCGTCAGCATTCCAGGTGCTCAGGCCGAGGGTTGGTTCCACACGTGTGTGATTGCAGCGAACTGCTCTGGATTGATGGATTACTCAGTTTCTAAGACCCAGGTGTTTTAACAAGGCATGGTTTACCTGGACCTCCAAATTTTGCAAAAAAACCCGTTTTATGCAGTTACATGAGGGAGAAGGCAGGAACGAAATATTTTACACATATCTCTGTGCTTTATTGCTGCATCTCACGCTGTCAGATGGTCACTGTGTAGATGTAGAACAGGATACGTCTTCTTTTCTTGTAACTCTAAAATTATCTATCCCTAGCCAGCTGCACAATTGGTTTGTGTGCAGAAGTTCTGATTTTAAAAGGAACGGAAAAGTTTATGTGAATTAAACACTGTGTGATCTGTACTGTTCCCAAAGTGTGGTACCTTCTCTGTCTTGGTGTTGGGTTAGGGGAGCTCGTGGGTGTTGCTGTTTTGGTCACCAGCCTTTAAACTCCATGAGCTGAACTTCCCTGGATTATAAACTGTCTTTGATTATAGGGAGTGGGCTGGATTATAAATTGTCTTTGTGGAGAATGGGCTGGAGAGCACGGAGTTATTCCTTTGGATCTTCATGGCACTCCGTGCAAAATGTAACAGCTGTTTTTGCTCGTGTTTCTGACTGTGAGCTCTTCAACGTGATACCAGTCATGCAAGGTTAAGCTGCAAAAGAAATTACTTTGTAGAGATTGTAAAATGAGAGTGTTGGATAACCTGTGGGGACAATAAAGGTTCAGGTCTCCTCATAAATACATGGAATACCGTGTCATCATTATTTCCTGTAAACACATCTTTCCTACATGGAAGAGCAGTGTCAACTGTGTGCCAAATGAGATTATTTTCCCTTGTTTAAGAGCTGTTGCTTGCAGCAGTGTTACCTGCTGGGAGAGAAGGGCTGGAAGGCTCCCAGCCCAGAGGAGGAGTGTGAGTCAGCAGGTGCCCGTGTCCACAGCAAACATGACTCAGCTCCCGCCGGCTCCGCATCTCCTGGGGCTGCTCCTCTGCACCAGTGACCCCACCTGACCAGGCTGCAGCCAGGCTGCCTCCAGCACTGCTGCACCAGGTTCTTCTAAAAACAGAGCAGAGGAAACGGGGGGGGGGGGACAGTGATTTGTAATTTTAAAGAGAAACATTTATTTCTTGTTCAGGTTGCGGAGGGATTGCGAGGGTTTGGTGGAGCTGCAGCGCCTGTGTCGGGGTACAGGGATGGTAAATAAAGGTGTTGTCTTACACTGGATCATCATCCTGGTGTTTGGCTCCCTGGGGTAAACCCTGAGTTCTTATAAAGCAGGAGTTTGGAGAGGGAGGAGAGGTTTGCAAAATGTGGGTTGTGTGACAGTCCAGCCCTTCACCTGGAACAGCCTCTCCCTGCCAGCTCAGCCAGAGGGAACCAGCCCTTCTCCTCTCATTAGTGGATGGGGAAGATCTTGGCTAAACTATTTTTCATTTTCAGGGAAAAAAAATTATGCAAAATATAAACCTTGGAAAAGAAAAATATAAACCTTGGAAAAGATGATCCTTAACCTCTGTGGGGAAGTAGCTGAACCATGTCATGGAGACCTGGAAAGGAGGACACTCGTGCTGTGAAGAAGTGCAAAAGGAATAATGGTCCTGTTTGTTCAGAGGCTGCCCAGGCAGGATCTCTCTTCCCAGATGAGATCCAGATGCTTCCAGATGAGCAGGAATCTTCGGGAATGGGACAAAAGAATTCGTAGAGCCGTGAGGACCTGCTGTGAAACTCCTGTGGTTGGCATGAACGTTATTTTCATCCTTTCAGACAGGAGAGGATTAAGTTACCAGTCGTTGTCCTGAGATGTGATGGTTCCCATAACAACAGGCTAAAATTTTTGTTTGTCCCAAAATTATTGGATTCATTTAAATCCTGGTAATCCAGAGCCTTTCTGTCTCTTTGCTGTTGGGAAATAGCTTTCCACCCTGACCCTCCAAATCGTTTGTTCCTCATTTCTCACACAGTGTATTCCAGTGGGACACGTGCCATGGCACCTTGAAAGCCTTCTCTTCCCTTTCTTCAATAAAAGGAATAAAATGTGTACAGGATTGATGTCCAGAAGATGCAGAATGTCACAAGAGGTAGCCAAACCCTCTTGGGACTGCTGGGTACATCAAAGCCAGAGCTCATCCTGAACAGAGCTGGGAACTTATTCCAGCAGTCAGGTGCCTGGGATGGCTGCCTTCCTCTGATCATGGCAAAGATGTTTTTGAAACACACGCAAGATAACAGATAAAGTCGTAGAGATTCAATCCAAGGAGAAAGTAGAGGGAGTTGAAACTACAAAACAAGCCTTGGACAGACCAAGAAGCAGTTAAAGGTCATAAAAAAGCTCCTGTTGCAAACACGCTTTGAAAATGTGTGGGTAGTGTTGATTTTATTCTGAATTAGACTTATTTTCTATAATTTTTGGTTTTGTTTTTAAATGCAATGCTGAAGGAATAGGACACTTGGAAATTGGGGGGAAAAAATTAGGAAAAAAGGAAAATCTCTGGGTTTTTTAACTGAATTTAATAGGCACTGCCTGTGGCTTCTGCCCCTGACCAAGCCATAGCACTGGCAGCTACTCCAACAACCTGTAGTTCCCTGCAGCAGCTGGAATTGTTTGGGAGTGTCTGCATTGCAGCGTGCTGGGAGATGTGTGGGTTTGGGAGGGTTCCCTGCTCCCAAATGTGTGTGTGATGCTCTAAAATAACAGAAGCATTGGCCCCTAACAAGAGCCACAAATGGAAATGAAAGAAACGATAGAGAACAGAGAGCAAATGACAAGAAGAGAGGTCCTGCTGCCTGGGGTGGGGGAGAAACCTGGAGAATTCTCACTGAAGAGAATTCTCCATTCTGCTCTTCCTCCTCTACTTTTACAGCAGTTTCTTCCCCAAACTGCAGCTCCTTTAGTGCCTCAGTGCTGGTGCAAAAAAAAAAAAAGCTAAACCCATTCCTAAAAACCTGTCTGGGATCCCTCCTCCCTTTGCTGTTTGCCTAAAGCTGCTGCAAGGGTTGGGGTTTGGATTTTACATCTCAGCCCAGCTAAGTCCGACCCCCCGACCTGGCCCTGCAGGTGAGGCTGCCTTGGAATAGATGGTTTAAAAAAAAAAAAAAAAAAAATCAATGAATTTGCTTATCTCTGCTTTCAGCAAGGGAGAAAAAGCAGTTTAGCCCATCTCAAGCAGACAAGAAAGGGAGGAAGAGGAGGAAAAATCCTCTTTTGCCAGCGCCCGGCTGGGTGTGTCTCCCCCCCTCCCCCGTGGGGCTGTGTTCCTGGCAGCCAGGCTTGCCTGGGAGGGATCTGCCGTCAAAGCCACCCAGGAAAGGAGGCCTGATACGCTCATTAATATTCTGAACTAGTGACCCTTCTCTTTCTTTCCACCCCTCGCCTTTCTCTGGGCGCTCCAGCCTCTCCCCGCCGCGGATGGCTGCAGCCCCCTCCAGCTGAGTCAGTCCTCCCTCCCCGCAGCATTGCAGCACCTCCGCAGCTCCTGCGCTCCTGCAGCACCCGCTCCGCTCCCGCCGCAGCATGGCCAGCACCGTCTCAGGTAGGACAGGCGCCTTCTGGGGGGGCTCGACATCAACGCACTCCTAAAACCATCGGGGTTTATTTTTTTTATCATTATTCTGAAGGTTTGGGTTGGTTTTTTCCATTTTTTTTTTTTTTTTTACTCCGTGGGTTTCAGGGGAGTTCTGCTCTGAGGAGGCAGTTGGTATGGCAGCATTGTTCCCCTTCCTTCCCCTTCCTCCCCCGTACACACACCCTTCTGATGCAAGATAGCAGGTGGGCTTTTTATTTTAATATGAATACACAGGTGATAAACTTGCCAATTTAAAATATTGCTGCCGTTACCTTGTGCCATTAGAAGATTCTGCTACATGCCAATTAAATATTGTTTTTGTAATATGTTACAGGGCGTTTTTTTCCCCCTAAGAAAAATTTGCACGCTGTGTAGCAGGATGTAAAGAAATCAGGAATTACATTTTGTTTTATGGAGATCATGTATTGGCTAAATGGGTAATGGAAAGGGAGACAGGGATGAGAGACAGTAATGCCCTATAAAATTCCCCAATGCCAACCAAAAGGACCTGGAGGGGTTTCTGTGTATTCTCAGGGCTTCCCAGCCCTGGATTTCTTCCACAGCTCGCATTTCTTGGTTAGAAGATGGTACAGGGGAGCGGCCCTTTGATGGCGTTGGGTGAAATGAGATGCTGCAAGGGAAGCCCTTCCTCCCTCCTGCAGCAGTGCCGGGAATCACATCCCGGGAGCCTGGTCGGGTTTGGCTGCAGGATGGCAGCCTGCCCCGAGGAT